TAAAAGACAGAAAGAAAGGGCTGACGAGAGATTATCAGCCATGGTCGAGTTCACTACACGATCCCGGCAATGAACCACTGGAACACTCGAAACCCTGCTAGTTCAAGATCCTAAAGTGATCTCTCCAAGGAATCCCCTCGATCGTCGATCACAGCAGCGGAATACGTACCTACCGTATTACTAAACAAGTTAATTGGCATGGGAGGCTTGGAGATTGTACTGTGTAAAGAAGGATGTAAATACATGTATGTAAGTTTGATAAATAGGTACCTATACATAAGTCTACCAGGTCTACGTAGCAGGTAAGAACCTAGGTAGGTGGTATGTATGTAGGTAGGATAGATATAAGGATCTTTCTGATACTGTGAAGCATATAGGTAAAAAGTCCGGTGCAAATATGACGAATAATAACCTCAGCCACAGCATCTTAGACATTTCTGTGCTGTCTAATAGATAGGTACCTAGCTTTAATAGGCACATGCGCATACGATACCCAATACCTAGGCATTTTTCAGGGCTGAGACATCACACCCTCTCTCTCTGCGGCTTCTACTCCCCTTTCTCTCTAACTGCAAGCGATTGATAGACCTACACTACCTAGGTAGGTACGTTATACTACATTCTATGATACTACGCATTCAACGTTTTAATATCTTACCTAGTACATATGTAGCTACCTCCTAGTTATCTGCACCGCCCAAGTAAGCGACCTCGAAGTACATATATAATGTGGAGAGCGACACTATTTCACCCCTCTTCTCATTTTTTCCCTTCCATGGTCTATACTACCAAGGACCAGTATGTACTATGGCACGCTAATCATGAACCACATTAAAAAGAACCCTGGATGATTTGCAACCTCGCGAGCCGCGCTTAACCCCATCTTCTCGGACCTGCGTCTACGATCATGCATGACTTTACAAATGAGGTGGGACGTGGAAGGTAGGGGGGTAAAGGCGAAAAGGAGGGGGCGTATATTCGCATGCATCTGCGCTAGGGAATCTATCGAAACCCCTCTAGCTTATCCTAGGATAGGCATCGCGTCGCCGTATTTTTACGTATCATGCTATTCACGAAGTTATCTCCTCATTATCTTACATCTCGTTGGATGGCTATATCGTAACAGGAAGATACGAAGGATGACAGGTTGGGGAAATCCAGGGCCGCATCGGTCTATAGCTAATAAGGAGTCGAGCGCATACGAGGTACTTACCAAGCATGATTGGCAGGTGAGGAATAAGGTGTAAGGTATGAGATACCTTCTATCCCCAAATTTCCCGACAGCTGCGCGAAGCCATCATGATGACGACAGAAGCGAATGAGAGGGTTGGATTCGAAATCTCAATCAATCTCGTGCGAGAGAGTCCGATCGAGATTGTCTTCGGGGGTCAACTCGGCCTAGCCCACCCGGTCTCCTATTCCTATCCGAGACACAACGTGGTAGTCCTCGCGTGCTCCATTGATATACATGTACGTATCTAGATTGAATGCGTACCTTTATTACATACATACATGCGTACATACCTACTTATATGTACGTGCCTCCTTCGTACATGGGTAGGTACATACTAGGTACGCAAGCGAAACGCTATACAAGGACTATACAAAGACTACTCAAGAACCACATATCTCTAAGAATAGGTAGGTAGGTACATGGGAGGATAGGTCTCGTGTGTGCGAATACTAAGCATTCTATTGCGTTATCGAACGAGTAAAACTACCTTGATGCAGCAAAGACGCATAGTATCAATATTTATCACGTTTCCTCCGTCTCCTTTCGGGGGGTCACTTTCGTCTTCTACTAATAAAGGTACCTACTAGTTTTCAGCAGAACAACGAATTGCGACAATCCACTGCCGGGGTAGTTTAGGTACCAGTTACGGGGGTAGCAGCATAGGGGTGAACACCTGGCAACGTCTCCTCCGAGCGTACTACATACCGATCCGTAAGTAGGAAGCAGAGGCTAGGTTATAGTGTCATGGGCGGATATAGCCCCGATGATCCCTCTAGTCGATCCCTGGCGGGACGCCATGCACGAAATTCAGATTAAAGGAAGCAAAGAACCGTCATGGTAACGGTCTTGGTGTAACGTTCGCAATCGTTCAGGGATCCTCATACATCTCACCTGGGCATACATAAGTTGGGGGTGCGTGCCGTGCCTTTGCCTAATAACGTACCCCCATCCCCTTATTAAGACCCTCTTCCCACAACTCGAACACATTTGATTCGACTTCGCAATACTCCGTTTAGCCTTCAATTTCCAGAAGTTATGTGTCCATTTATTCATACTGAACTTGACCATTATACGTAAAAAGATCTTCTACCTACCTGCCTAGGTACCAACAACGATCAGCCATCGCGCCCACCGGGGGGTTCCGTCGAGTGGATATTGGCTGCCTTTAGTGTCACTAAGATCCAGTTACTTGTCTCGCTATTTTACCTTTCGCAAACATGGAATTAATATACGCTACTGGAAACTTGTTCGCGCGCTTTCTTCAGAGTGTTCGCTACGTAATTGGAACCACATTGGAAACATGTACTAAAAAAATACGAATTTTCCACCTTCCAAGATGTCGGAAAATATTTCGCTAGGTAGATCCGTATGTGCATCATTGGTATTTACCCCAAGCTACTAATGACGGCATGATGATGTCGTCACGTAAGAAGCGACATACCTAGTAGGCAGCTACTATGTAGGCATATGTACGTACTTACCCAGAGAGCACTGACGACAGGCTAGTAGACGATCTGTTCATACCAGGTAATAAGCTTATCGTAGCCGACCCAGATTCATGGGACCGTCCAGCGGACTGCGGACGACAGTACGGGGTAAACAAGCGAGAATCTAGATAGACCCAGAGCGCGATCTAGACCTCTGGAGATCAATCCGGGGAACGATATCCGCCTACCATCACGTACCGCCGCAGAGTTGCAAGTAGGTACCTACGACGCGGTTCACTCAACCTACCTAATCTAGATAGATCCAATTCCAGCTCATATATAGGTACCTTTATCTCTCGTATGCTGGTATACGCACTTACTTTTAACCCCGGAAAGGATGTCAAATCCGTGGAGAATTAATGTGTGTTAGGTAATACACGTCGAAAGGCTGAGCAGCTGAGTTTCCTACCTAGCCAGGTAAGTGAGGCTCCTTACTAGTCACGGAGACGGCCCGGTGCTGTAGCGGTTCCCGCTAGTTACCACCCCCATGGGAGATGTACACCTCCGATTTCTATTGATGGAAGGCGTTGGTAATCAGACTTGTAAGTGATCTTAGTCGCTGATCTTTACAGAGATACCCCCTATTCTTTCGACGTGGTGGAGTATCTTAACGATTCACATCGTTGCTAGGTATGTCAAGTAACTACTAGGTACCTTTCTACCCACTAGGTAGGCATATGGTCTTTTTACTTACCTAAATGACAAAAACTAGATAATTCAAACATGACCCCGTTTGCCTTACCTAGTACCTACCTACCTAAGGACGTAGCCATATTCCTCGACCATCTGTGGGGGTTAGCTTAGGTAAGATAAGGGGATCTTTGCAAACCCCTGGATCCAAAGCTAATGTACAATATGTCATTATGTACACGTACCTACCTACCTACCTACCTACATACTATAGGTTTAAAATGTTTTATTTATTATTATGGAAGCTATAGAATATACCTCTTTATACCGTTAGTGATGAAGGGGCACTTGTAGCAATGTGGCTTATACCTCATCTCGATCACTTGAGCGGTTTAAGTTTTATTAGTGCCTACCTACCTACCTACCTCCTATCTACCTATCTATAGAAATTATTCACATCTAGTAACTTAGGCAGGTAGGTAACCAAGTGGATATATGATGTTTCCGTAAATAAGACGCATACATCGTACCTATACGATTATCATGCCAAAAACTTTGAGTAGGTGCCCAACACATTGGTTCAAGGAAACCCCTTGCGTAATGCTAGCATTACCCACCTAGTACATTCATAAACAGTATGGTAATTTGAACAAACATTACCTAGGTAGCTGGGACTAAGAACAATCCTGACGAGGTAGTTGGAGTTCCTCTGTTACGTGCTTAAGATGTATTGTGGAAACTTTAGTTATCAGACTAACCACAACGTACCACATCCTCTCCGATCGCAATCTATGTGAGGCAAAGATCCCACGTGGACGTGTTTAAACCCAGAAGGTTGGCAACGATAGAATTATTTGAATTTACAAGCTTCCAAAGTTCTTATCCAATGAAGCTTAGCCCAGCATGATATATTACAACCTAGTACCTAGGTACCTAGGTGGGCATAAGGTTTTAGAGTCTTTATATGCTACTCTAATACCTTAGTAATATAGCTACATGTGTTTGCTGACGCATTTGACTGCCGCGTAACACTTTCCTAGCACATAGAACCATCAACCAGAGCAGATAGGCTATGTCTACCTAGGGGTATATCAACAGAGTTGCCGAACAGATGTAAGCAAAGTGATGAATTCGACTTTCCACCTAGGTAAGACCCTAGTAAACCTTGGAAATCAAAATTAAAACTTACAAGAAACGTTACCTAGGTAATCACAGGGGATAGGTTTGTCTCGATAGAAATCATCGCGGGCTTTCGGTGAGCGATATGGGACATGTGCAAAGGGGCATTGCACCACCTAAATGAATCCAACCCCTCGGGACTTGGAAGGTAGGCATCCTACCGACAAAGTGGTCCTCGGAATGGGCTGATAGGAGATTTCTTTCCAAGTACCTAGGTACATTTTTAGACCAAATACATAGGTGAAGTTGAAGTGGTATTTGTGTTTCTGGGTTTGGGGGTTAATAAGTTGCCCTGATCATAATGTTATGGAATCGTGAAGAGGTACCGGATTTTATCTGTCGAGAATTAGCAATTCGCTAAGTACGTACCTACCTAGGTACCTACCTAGGTACCTACCTAGGTACCTAGATAATGATGGGATAGGGAAAAATACCTAATACATTCGGCGAATAATTCTTATTAAGCATTACGTACATATTGTGAGCCGATTCTCCATGTTTCTTTGTCAATAGCAGCCTGCCTAGCCTAATCGTAAGTCTTTCTACGTACTTACAAACATACCTACCTAGTAGGTACACTGCTACTTTTAAACTATTTTCCATCCAAGTAGAGACAAGAAGGAGATACTGTATACATAGAATAATTGCCAACAGATACCTAATTACACCTTACCAGCTAGATACAATATATTCTCTCTAATCGCCTTCGTCAGCTCTCCCTGTCCTGTGTACACGTACTGGGCCGTCTGCGGCCATGACTCGGCATGCGGCATCGGTAAGTAAATGATGTCTCCCTCGTGGACATGACCAGATACTAATAAGGCCGCAATGACAGGTAGGTATACGCGAACATACTTGAGATCTAGATGAACATATATTGTTAACGCAAGTATGTACCTTGTGCCTAAGCCAAGGGGTTTTTATGAGTAAAAGAGAAGAGGAGACGCGATTAAATATATCTAGTAAGAATATACTCACGGATAGGCACTGCTTTTGCGTCTCTTATTAAGCTATCGAGGTCTAGGCTGTTGGTACTTGATCGTAGCAACGCTCCCGACCGGACACTACTAGAACGTCTTGACCTCGGGGATGGGGTGCCACTCCGAGATGATATCGACGGGAGGCTAGGACGACGCCATTCATTCGGGCTTCTGACTTGAGGCTTTGGCGTTGGGTCCGGTGTTGTCGCTCTCAGCTCGTCTATATCAAAATTGCGCTGAATCAAAAACGATGGTCTATCTAGAGCTCGAGGTCGAACGATGGCACGAACTGTTAATCTATTTTTCATTGGGGCACTCGCTGTCGCTTTCACGAGCTCTGGTCTCGCAATATCCGTTAGGGAATCGCTGCTGCGGCGACGTAGAGATCTAGCAATGATGAATGCATCAGCCGTTTTCGCATTGCCGTAGTAAACGTGACCCCAACTTCGAAGTTGGTCATGGATCCCTGAAACCGAGTCTATTCGTGGAGATATCGGCAATTCGTCGCGAGTATAATAGTAAGGGCTTCTATCTCGAGACCCAGATACACCACCCATAGAATCAGATCGTTCTACTGCGCCCAGGCTGTCTCTTCGAGGAAGGCTCGGTGAGGCAGGTGTTGGTAAACCATGAGGCACGCTCATTGGCGGTAGAATGCTGATCTTTTCGAGCCTTGCAACCAAGGGCGATGGCGAGTACTCATCGATTGGGGTTAAAGGTGCCGAGCCGACAACATGTCGTGTTCGCTGATCGAAACTATCGACAAGAGCTCGGTCTTGCTTTCGCATTGATTTATCGTACGAAGCAGGGTGAACCGGACTGGGACCTGGGAGGCTCTTGGGAGATAGCGGCGGCTGAGACATGCTAACGCTAATAGGGGTTGGCCGGAAGACCGTATCGGGCAAACTGTCATGGTTACGGTAGTTAGTCCAGAGGGGCTCGAGACTCGGACGCCTCGAAATGTTTACATCGCTTGTCATTGGATCTGCTATAGTTATGAGGAGATATTGAATGCAAGTTATGGCTTGAACATCAAATTTCGATCGTTCCTCTGAAAAGCCGTCTGAAATTTGCAAAGTACGTTGTTCGGCCGAGAACTATGGCCAACATCCCGCGGCGGGGCTTTCCTTAAGAGCATTTTTCTATGAATAGATCAAGACCACAAAGCTTTTTTGTGTCTTATCCTTTTTGTTGGTTAAAGAAGAGGCGCGGACCTCTAAATCAAAGGGGTCATTCATATTAACTGGAATTACGTCAGGCATACAACAACATAGGTTTCATACCGTTTGTAAAATTTTGTGGCGAAGGCTAGAGTCCGTTGATCACATAAGTTTGTTCTGATGGGGTAGCTTTAGGCGACTCGTATCTCTAAGAGGATAAAGAGAACCTAGACTTCGTCGTTCTCTCCAACTAGGATTAGTAATTAACGATCTCAGCTGCGGATGAGTAAAGGAGAATAAGGGGTCGGATATTTCTTTAGAGCCAGGCTTATAACAAAGGGATCATTTCTCGTTGCCACAATATATATGAAATAGATTTCAAGTAATTCATATAATTCATATCATGTAAAGTAGATGACTAGGAGCGTTTGTCTCTTGGAAAGAGTCGTCTGAAACAAGTTTATCAATATTGACCTGTCGAAGCATGTCTTGAAGAAAAAAGAAAAAGCAAAAAGGGGTAAATCGCTTCCTATATGAATATATGAATGACGTTGAATTACATGTATGCATATATCAGATCTCGTTTACATCGTATTTAACAACCTTGAAATTCCATGATGACATAATAATATGATCTCACAACCTTGAAATATCGAAGTACCTATCCAGGTACCTAGGTAGTATGTACCTAGTACAACTTAGGTATGACTAAACAGGGCTCCGCCTCACATGATTGGCTAGCCTGATCCGACCCCAATTTGTCGTTTCGCGAGTTACTATGTACAAGGTTACAAGGCCGATAACCTCCAAAAGCTACCTACTTTTTTTATGACAACACATCATAAATCGAGTTGACATCTGTTCAAAACTCCCTTTCCGCCGCCGCGATGCCCACATATTTCTCTTAGTTTACTCGGCCTAGCATCTGTCTAGTACTCAGATTATCTTCAATCTATTCCATGTTCATTCCCGTATCTCGCTCTTAGGAAAAATGGGTTCCAATGCGACAAGTTACAAGCAGATGAAAGAGGATTTCGTATCCAACTTAACAGGAGGTTCAGTCACCGAGATCAACAATATAGTTACCGTAGGACCTGTATGTAAAATTCGAATATCTATCCATATCAAGGGCCACCAGCTGACTCAAAATACCCACTCAGATTGCATTTGCCCTGTGGTCCATTTTACAATCGCGCCAGTCCTTTTTCAAACCGTACAAGCCCTTGAGCTTCCTAATCGATTTCCTCCTCAATGTCATAGCCGTATTGCTTGCTATCACGCTCTATGCGAATACAACATTGCTACTTTGCGGTCTGATTCTCGTCCCTGCCATATTTGTTTATGCGCTCCCACCAAATCCCGCTGTATCGAGAAAAAAGCCCAAGCTCCCTCCTAATGCGCAAACTCAGAAATCATCCGGCGCACTTGGCGTCCTATCTACCAAGCCTTTCTTGACGACCTATCGAGGGTCTATGTTGGTCATTACGTGTTTGGCGATCCTGGCGGTAGACTTTAGGTTGTTTCCTCGCAGATTTGCGAAGGTCGAGACCTGGGGCACCTCGTTGATGGATGTGGGTGTTGGTTCATTTGTCTACTCCGCCGGCATAGTCGCCGCGCGACCGGTTCTGAAGGAGAGAGCTGAGAGCCGGGGGGCGCCGTTGCTGCACAGACTCCTGTACTCGATGCGACATTCGCTTCCTTTGCTAATCCTCGGAATCATTCGCCTCATTAGCGTCAAAGGTCTTGACTACGCAGAGCATGTGACCGAATACGGTGTTCATTGGAATTTTTTCTTCACCTTGGGTTTCCTTCCCCCTTTCGTCGCGCTTTTCCAGTCAGCCCTGAAGATTATCCCGTCTTACGCAGCACTGGCGATCATACTTGGGGTTATTTACCAAGTTGTACTTGAAAGCACCAATTTGAAAGCCTTCATCCTCATCGCGCCACGAACCGACCTCTTTTCCATGAACAGAGAAGGTATTTGCAGCTTCTGCGGATACCTCGCTATCTTTTTAGCCGGTCAGGACACCGGCATGTTTGTGCTGCCTAGGAGTATCAACCCGCGCAGTGGAACTAGCAACAGTGCCCAACGAACCACCCTTCTCCTAACCATGGCTGTGTGGACTTCTATTTGGACAATCCTATATTTCTTCACTACGAATTACTCCTACGGTTTGGGATTAGATGTGTCTCGTCGACTAGCTAATTTGCCGTACATTCTATGGATCGCAGCGTTTAACTCAGCGCAATTATTTGCATGCTGCGCTATCGAGAGTGTGTTCTTCCCGTCATTCCATAATGCTACGGATATCAAGACAGAACGTGAAGCCTACGAGACGGCCACAAGTAAAGTTCTGCGATCATTTAATAGGAATGGGTTGGCCATTTTCCTAGTAGCAAATCTATTAACAGGGTTAGTCAATATGACCGTACCTACATTAGATGTTGGACCAGCTGTCACGATGGGAATATTGGTAGGATATGGCGCCGTATTAACGGCACTTGCTGTCGCGTTAGATACGTGGAATGTATCCATTAAATTGTGAGTCAGGAATATATCAATCGACGAACCCCCCTAGAGCTATATATATTCGAATATAGGTAGGTAGTTCATTGAATACGTTCTATGCTGTACGATGTCTTCAGAACATCACCAAATTTGTGTCGTAGCTTTACGATTAGCACAGATACAAATCTTTGTATTTGGAGCTATTAAGCAAGACACAGCAGGTGAAATTCCAAATAATATTGACATTTTCATCTTGGTCCTATCTGAATTATTCTTGATCGACATATATGTTTATACAACCATGTTGCACGGGAATGGCCAATTCATTTATTACACGAATAAAGCGAGGCAACAAGGGCCTAGTCTACAATAATGAAAGAACTACAAACAGCTCATAAATATGAAACCAATGAGGGTCTTTCCCCCCTATACAAGTGGCGCCATGCCTAAGCCTTCATAGCCGTCTTTCTTCTTTCCCCACCGGAGTTGCAATGCCCGAAGGAAAAATGTCGATAGGTCGTATAGTTCTGTGGTACTTAAGCGTCTTCGACTGGAAGGCTTGCAAGTTAGGTAAGCTTATCAGCGGCGTAGAAAGGTGCAGTCGTAACACTCTTCTTCTTAAATCTAGGCCTCCTAGGCGATAAGATATGTAACCCTGTGTGATGCTGAGCATCTAAGCCGCGTCTTTGTACTTCTCAGCCCTCAACGCTACATGCTTCTCCAAGCTTTGAATGGTTGCTTTATGTAATAACTACCCTAACTATCCGTTCCCGAGTCCTTTAAAAGAGGGCGGAAATTCGCGGAAATTCGCGTATCTGCTACGAGGCGGTACTGGATTATCTACCATGGCGTTCTTAGTTTCCGTCCCGCAGCGAATATAGACCCTTGATCGAAAGGAGGGAGCCGCTGTAGATTATCATGTCGTGAATCGGTTTCTTCACGGGTCGTAGGATCGAAAAGTTAGGTATAGCATCAATCTAACACTGGAATAGCCCATCTACCGATGTCGTTTATATACGGCCCGAGTTCCGAGACAATTCTTCCACTGCCCATAATTATTTGGGCAGGCCTCTCAAGTATGTAAGTGCTCACGTAGTATATTCTACCTATGTAGGTCTTGCTCTTTAACGTTTCCGTTATTAAGGATCTTCTGAGGACGGCTTCATGACGTTTATTGCATATTAATATATTTCTCGAGACATCGGTTCGAGGTACTACCTACCTAGGAGTTGCTGTAGTTCGGCTGAATTTTCCGGCGCATACTTACATACATAGTATGTAGATGTTGAAGTTTCACCTAAACATTTGAATGTTTGGAGATCGACGCTTGCTTGCAGAACATGAATAAGCTCATACGGGTCTACAGGATCTTTTTTTATTGGCCGGGAATTATAATTACATAATTGGAAAACTCGGTACCTGGTGGGTACCTAGTAGTGTGTACTGTACCTGGACGTGGGTACATGTTCTGTCGGAACTAATTTGATTCATTAATGGATATTTCAATAATAATACCTACATGTATCCGTTGCTTGACTCGACAGCTCGATCATCTGTATCTATTCTGAAGCATCGTTACACGAATTACCAAGGCATTGTGTGTTCCCGTCATGTTTCATGCGTAAGAGGGAGTCCCTTGGTAACATAATCACTGTGATCTTACTGGACATATGAGCGATGACAGAATGGTAGAGAATCGAATGAGGGTCGATCTTTAGGCGGATGAGAAAAAAATAAATAAATAAAAGTCATACACTAATAGGGAGAGGTCTGAGCTCTTTGGGGGCTTGATCTCTTTCGGTTAACCGCTTGATAAGTCGTTCATAAACAGAGGACTATCCCCTTAATCCCTGCCCCTACCCATGGAAGGTCATCTCCGACATTCATGCGAGAAGATCTGATCTTCTCAGCCTGCTAGCCTGGTGGACCTCGGGAATATGTCATATGCTAAAGCTGAAAGCTGGAATGGAATCAATTTTGTAAACCTACCTAGGTGGTAAGCAAAAGCTGGTTTTCATTAACACCTATTCCTTAGGTAGACAGGCATAGATGTAAGTGTGTTGACTGTAACCGCCGCGTCTCTAAACTTATTCTACTGGATTGGGATTGTCACCTCAGCCTTACCGAAACTTAAATGGGAAGAATTTCCTTTTCAACTCTTGCACTTAGGTGATAATAGTTTTCGTGGGACATACTGTACCCAAACAACGTGTCCTTTAAAAACAAAACAATGCAGCCCATGATCATGACCCATAGGAAATGACCACAATCATAAGAGAAAACCAACACGCTTGAACAAGACCCTGCAATCTGTGAGATAGGAGGTGGGTATTATGTGGGAAGTACCTAGATATGTACCTATTTTCATGTTTCTAATGCATGAGAACTGACATTGCTCTAGACTCGAGAATACGACCAGGCAGAAGAATAAAAAAAAAAGGCTGATAATCGTAGGCACTCGCATGGTTCAGCCTTGCGTTGTTGATATGGAAAACTAGAGCCAAGGGAGAAGAAAGCAAAAAGAATTTAAATGGAAGGCCGCAATCAATAAAACACAATGATGTGATCTTAGTCCGATCTTATGGATATTGGCAAGAAGAAATGTCTGTTTACGGAATAAACACCTCTATTTTAGACCCCAGCATATCCAAACCACCCCTGTCGTTTCAAGTTCCCTATCGTTGTTTTTTTCCCGTTCAAAAATTCGGTCTCTCCTAGCCGGTACTCGGAAATGTTAAACGAACGTTCCCGCACATATCTACCTACAGAACTATCAATCAGTTCGACCATCCTTGCGATTCGTGAACGCCACATGTTTAAATAAAAAGCCGGAAGCGGGACGGATCTCTTAAGGAAGATCCTTGTTGCTAGAAACAACAAACACCTTCGGGATAAAGTCTTTTACATGACTCGTGGGGCTAGTCAGTAACCTCACTTACCTCGGTACGCAGCTAGTAATGGGGTTGATATTGAAGCTCATGATAGTTAAGCTAGAACTTCGATATTGAGATATATTGTTCGACTTACGGCGTACATGATAATAGGTCGCTACTAGACAGATAGAGGAGGTATCTGCCCAGGTAGACCGTAGGTACATAGGTAGCTGCATATTGTTTAAGCCACACAGGCCATTTCATTACCTATCAACTTAGGTAGTTACCTAGTAGGTAATATGCACTGAGTGAATGCGAATGCATCTCGTATTCCTATGTTTGCTCTCACTGTATTGGCCTAGATTTCTGTCGAAATCATACTAGGAAAACTTTATTAAAAAGAAATCCTGAAATGTCTCTCACGGACACTTAACGTGCGTTAGATGTTATGGCTGAATGATACCTTGACAGACCCGAACGCCCTGGCTTGACGGATCATTGATTATTAAAAGGAACGAGTCCTCCTGCACTCCTCCTGCATGTAGCAACGAGTGGACGTAATCCAATTCCTCGCGTCTTCATCTTGGAATATCGCATGAAAATCAGTGGTTCTAGCCGCATAACAAGATAAACACGGCGAGTTCTGGTAGGTCATATGTAAGTCCCTATTATTAACTTGGGAGCGAACCAATCGTCTGCCATTGGTGGGATATGTGTAGTCTGGATTATGTACAGAATACCTGGTAGTGTTTACCTATTTAGTAGATTATTAATAGTAAATATCAAGGTGAATGTAGAAGGTGTTGAATGAGTTAAAAACCATTATTCGATTTGATTTCAGTTGAGAGCTTTCGAAGTCTTGTTTGATATTACTATGCAGGTATGTTAGGTATGTTGATCTAACAATATAGCAAGCACCGGGCAGTTGACGCAGAAGAATACCTAGTAGGTAGAAGTCAGATACACAACAACGTGAAGCTTTTAGCAAAGTTTGGGTAACCGACGGCCCTGTCTTTCGGTGAATGTAGCCGTACCTAATGGTTAGGTTAGGTACCCGATAAGATACCAGGTGCTCCTTGACGGCGCTGTCTTGTGGTGCTTGTGGTACATGCTACATAAACCTAAGACTGAATTGTATTGTACCTGCATGAAAATGGATGATTTTATCGTCATTAGGTGGTGGGTACGTACATTATGAAGTACCTTGAGCTTGGACCGCTTGGAGACCTTTGTGCTACTCTGGCTTTTGGCCGTCTATCCGTCGTGGTAATTACCTGATATGGTTAATGCTAGATAGTTTCCCCCACAGCGTTCCCGTATTTCTGTGTCGTATACCCCACTTACGGTCTGTTTTCGGTTAGTTTGGCGTCGGTATTCCCCTCTAATAAAGCGGAAGAAACACGCCAAAGAGAGACAGAAGTCACAGAACGCGACCAGCTTGGTACAATACACTGGGTGTAACAAGAACTACCCCTGCTGGCGTCTCCATCTTGGCCATCTTCCAATTTCCCTCTCAAGGTAATCCCTACCCACATTGTCCCAATTGATGCTCAATTTCACTAGGACACTGGACGGTTTTGGTTTTGGGGCCCTTTTTTTCCCTTCCCTCTTCCTCGTCGCTTGTCGCCCATCACGTCGTCCACCCTTCTGGCCTGCCTTTATCCAGGCGAAGGGCTTTCCAATTTTCGTCGCGCAATCTGATATCTCTTTGAATACCTAGTAGATACCTTGCTTTTAGGTATCTCAAGAGTTGTACGCAACCAAGCAATTAAACAATTGGGAGACGGTGTATACACCTCAAGCTCCCTAATTAATATCGATTTACACGTTCTTACGTTTTCACTTTTCGACTTTTCGTTACCCTTGACCCTCCAACCTTTTTTTCTCTTTACTTTTTTTTCCCTTTTCCCTGTTGGTGGTCAACCTCTAATTGCAACGCGTTCTCCAATTCCTGTTAAGCGTTGTGTTAATTAACGAATCTCCTAACTCAATTGCTAGCCGAGTCCAACGATTAAACTTGGTTCAGCGCCGGTGAAAGGGGCATAGTCTTAACTTCGCATAACGTTTTTGTGGGTTGTTGAGATCAATCTTCATTGGATCTAAACCTACAGTTGTCAAATTGTCAACCCCCTCTAGTCTCAGGTCATTGAAAGGTAACCGACACGCGAAGACGAAACGTCCGTACCATTACTGTCTACTTATCTCGTGTTGCGAGCCCATCACCTAATATCTACGAATAAGTTGACATTGGAGCCGGCCTTTTCGAGCCAGCATCCCCCACGACTACAGCTTGAGTCACAGCTTTGAAATATACCAAATTGTAGCAGGTTTGGGACGGTAAAGGAGAGAAAACAGACCAGGAAGAAGGAAACTAAAGATTACTGGTGCCCAAAGCTGCACCCGCATCTGCATGTGCATCTAAGCCTCTCCCCTTTTAAACTTGGTGTAAGGTCGAGAAAAAAAAACATTACAACCACAGTACTTGGCTACCGAACGGAGAAGAAAGGTAGCAACAACGAAACATATAATCCTCAATTCTCAGCTGAGCCTACACGACAAACGAACACCAAGTTGCCGCGTTCCTCTCAGCGCAGAGACATACATATAACCTGTTACCTGACTTATTCGTTTGATAAGAACGTGGCCAGGGAAACGAATCGCCGATCAGCTGCTTTATCCACGCGGTACGTTGTTCAAACGAGATAGCACCTTCATTGCAACGCACAATGCCAATCTGAACTGGCTTATTGGAGGATCAGACGAACCGGCAGCCCTCTTGAGTTTTTTTTTATTAAAAATTTCAAGGCGCTCACAGGCATCCCTAATAATCCCCATCATTTCCCCTTCCATCACTTTAATAACACCTAAGACCTTCACCGACTCGGGTTCATCACCCAAAAAATTTCAAAATCATCACCATCGACCTTTTCAAACTCATCGTTTTAGGTACCGTATCTTCAGGGTCGCATCTCAGAAGGCCCTGAGGATCCATCTGCGCGTGTAGCGTAGAAGATGTCTTCTGCTGCATTGCAGTCAGCTCCTCATCAGCCGACCTCCCTGCCTACCTTAAATACGCCTTCGCCCGCGACCGCGTCTCAGCCCCATCGTCAGTATACACCAGCTCAGTCCCCCGGCGGAGAGGGCCGCTATGCGAATCGAGATAACGCGAATGCTTCGCCCGCATCATCGAGACGGCCGTCCAGACGACCTAGTGGAAACAGCGCGAGCGCGGCGAGCCCAGCACCGACCCACCCAGAACAGGCCCAGTCATCGCCAATGACATCGCGAACCGCATTAGCCTCGCCGGTGCCGGTAGCGGGTACTACAGCAGAGTACGATAGGTCAGCTACGGGTCGACGAAGGAACGAGCCACCCGTTGCCCCGCCGCGAACATCATCTACGCAACATGGGCCTGCTGGACCAACCACGTCTCGAAGGGCGGCTCGTGCCGAGGAACGAGCTGCAAATTCCCCTAGGCGAGCAGTAGGTGATGGTAGAACAGGTACAAACGGACAGTCGGAGCTTGGGCGAGGAGGTTATGACGATCCAAATTCTCGGAGCCGAAGAGCAGCGTCGCAGCACCTAGCACAAGAGCCTACTCAAAGACCTAGCAGCAATAGGGATCACCGTCAGACCGTAACGACTATGATGCCCGTTAGGTCCGCTACCAACGCTTCGTCGAAACAGCCATCGCGCGAGGCTAGCGAGGTTCTTCATCGTGTAATAGTTTCCCAGCCGGAAGATGATATTGGACGAGAACGTGAGCGGCTTAGCGAGGCCCAAGGTCAATTATCTAACCATCGGGTCGCAGTTGAGGAGGACGGGGCCGCTCCTCCACCGGTCGGCGTGAACGATGCCCAAGAAGATGGGCGGCGCGGGGGTCGCAGTCGTCACGATCACTCCAAACGCGAGAAGGGATCGAAATTCGGAGATTACTATCTAGGAAACGTGATTGGCGAAGGCGAGTTTGGCAAAGTGAAGCTCGGCTGGAAGCAAGACGGCGGTGTTCAAGTAAGCCACATTTTCCTCTGTCTTGATTTAGTGCGAATATGAACCGAAACTAATGATCACTCGCAGGTGGCTATCAAGCTCATTCGCCGTGATAGCGTTGGAAATAACCCATCCCGACTGGCGAAGATCTACCGTGAAGTGGCAATCTTGCGCGGCATCTCGCATCCCAACATTGTGAGATTGCACGAGATGTCGGAGACTGAACGCCACATCGGAATTGTCCTGGAATATGCGTCCGGGGGAGAACTTTTCGATTATATCCTTAATCACAGGTACCTAAAAGATGGTCCTGCTCGTAGACTCTTCGCCCAGCTCATCTCGGGAGTGGGATATCTTCATAAGAAGGGTATCGTCCACCGAGACTTGAAGCTTGAAAATCTACTTCTCGACCGGAATCGCAACATCATCATTACCGATTTCGGGTTCGCCAACACATTCGACCCTCATGATGAGTTAACCGAAGACGAAGAGTTGAATCTATCCGACCGTGAATTCGTCAAGCGCTCCGGCTTAGACAAGACTAAGCAGAACGGAATGCGTAGGGGCGACCTGATGCAGACTAGTTGTGGAAGCCCATGTTACGCGGCCCCGGAATTGGTGGTCAGCGACTCGCTTTATACTGGTAGAAAGGTCGACGTCTGGAGCTGTGGGGTCATCTTGGTAAGTTGTGGATATCGTTCACATCTGGTCTTCGCGAATATTTTTGGAGGTTTGCTTACAATATTTTAGTATGCCATGCTTGCTGGTTATCTACCATTTGACGACGATCCCGCCAACCCCGAGGGCGACAATATTAATCTCTTATACAAGTACATCGTGAATACCCCCCTCACGTTCCCTGAATATGTTACTCCTCACGCACGAGATCTGCTGCGTCGTATACTGGTTCCGAGCCCCCGAAAACGTGCAGACCTATTCGAAGTAGCTCGACATAGTTGGTTGAGCGAATACGCACACGTCGTAGAACTCATCACCAGTACGACGACCACCAGCAACGAAATTCAAAATACCACCGTGCCTTCTGAGGATGCGGATACGGGTGGCCTGGGGAGGAGCGCGTCTGTCAGGGAGCCCTCGAAACCGAAGACGACTACTGCTCCTCAGACCGATTCGCCGCGGAAACAGGGTAAGGTCGAAGGAGAAGAACAAACGTACGGGAAGCCGCCGAAAGACAACAAGCGACGAACTGTCCAGGTGGAGTACGTTGCTCCCGTCACTCAAACGCAAAGAGGAGGTGAACAGCAGTCGGATCCTCACTCGTCACCGCGCGGAAAAACCCGAGCTCGTTCCTCTAGTCAGGGCCCCGTCGAGGTACACGCTTCGCCCGCCGACAAGCCCCTACCAAGAGACCCGCCGGTCTCCAGGGAGGAATACCCTACCCCGTCCCGAGACCCTCGAAAACCGCCCAGTTCGCACAGACGAGACGTGCCGCCCCCAAGATCAAATATACCTCGTTCTACGTCTGATCATGCTTATATGACTACGGCTGGCCCAAGCTCGTCGGCGACGCGGCCGACTACCGGAGGTTCGATGCATTCAACCGCTTCTAGGTTAGCGTCATCTACGAGAGGATCGTACGGTCAACCATTACCCCCTGCCGTTGCCGGTACTAACGCTCATGGAAGCATACAACAACCGAAAGGCGCTAAGAATTACGTTATATCGAACCCGATCCCTCAAGAGACGCCCGACATGGACTTCGGTCGACCCAGTATTACCGTACCTTCTAAATATGCCCAAGTTTCGGGTTTTAGCCAGGGACAGCAGCAGTCGAGCGATGCCAAGGGCCATCGTAGGTCCAACACTATCGGCGAGATCGGTGGCAAAATATTCGGTCGTAGTGGTTCTATCTTCGGTGGCCGGAAGAAGCGCCCGGACCAGGCGGGAGAGAAGGCCTCCAAGAAGTATCCCCCTATTAGCATGTCTAACGCGCTGCCTGGCGAGTCAAGGACTTCCATGGAGTCCCGCGCTTCTAGGAGATCGTTTTCTTTGGGACTTGGGAAGAAGAGAAGCGGTAGTATAGCGGGGTCGCAGGCGTCGATAGACAAGCCGCAGAATCGTCGGTTCTCCTTGATGAGAGCGATTGGTTTGGGTAAGGAGCCCACAACCCCGCCTGCTGAATCTTCTCAGCAAGATTTGCCTATCCAAGAACCTCCGGAGGTGGACGATTATAACCGATACGCGGACCATCAGCAGGGTCGCGGGAACGTGGGACATCAGTACGGAGATGGTACTTACGAATCGCTACAATCTCCAAGGTTGGGCTCGGCGCCTAATTCTAACGCCAGCCCCGTCCAGCTACGATTCCCAGCGAACCCCAGACCTACAGCGATACCTTCCTATCTGCAGTCGGGCGCAGTCCTGAACTCCGAATCTGAATCCTCGCTTGATCCCGCCCAACGAAAGCCGCCTAACTCGGCACCTTACCAGACCGGCTACGATTCCGATCACTACGACGGGCGCCAGTCTGGCCGCGGAAGCCGCGTCTTGCAGAAAAACAGGAGATTTGTGGACGCTTATGACGGGGAGGAGTACGGAAGGCCTCACGACCACGCAGGTAGTAGCGGCGCGGCGAAGAGGGTAATGGACTTTTTCAGGAGACGGGGACGGGCGCGTGGAGGCGAACCTTAGAAGACGAATCCGTAGGACGTTTGCGGAGGGGAAGCGCTCGATCGCGTATGAGGAGTCCGCCGCCGACTAAGACTACGACATCACAGGTACGCGTCGGCGTACCTGGACGATCTCAAAAATTGCTTCGATTAGAAATCTTCGGAACGCTAATGATACCTTGTTCTTCACCAAACGCCTATATCCTACGGTACTTACATTGTAATACGAGACACGCAAGCCTTTTTTGAAAGATCCAAATCTAATATTCTGCCCGTTGAGGGATGACGCAAATCGCCGATCGTTGGGGGGGGGAGGTTGAATGAGGTGACCTGTGTGTGTGCTAGCTGGCTTTAAACAAGTTTGGAAGAAAGATCAAGCAACGATGAGTGATAGTTGACGATTCGGAACAAACCATATATTTTCCCCTCCATTATTCTGCAAGAACAATCACATCATAAGTCATTAAGGCTGGGAGTTCGGACGGCGTATTTATGTAGAATGGGAGCCTCGGTTTTTATGTTGAGCTTGCTCCCTCGTCCTTTCTTAACTCTCCCGGAAGTGTCCCAAGTATTTTTTTCATCTGTCAGCATTTGAAAAAACTAACTTATTCTTCAGTCATGTTCTCGTGAAGTGAACAGCATTCTGTCAAGTTGATTTGTATGTCATTAATGAAGAGGGTAGAGATCTTAAGGCGTGATCAACCTTTTTGCTAGGTCCTGCTTTTGTAAATACCCATAGTTCCCGCCAACTCACTTGTCGCGGAAGTCTAGTCTCATAGCCTCGAGAACCAATATCAATTGTCATGTCTCCTCGTATCCTTCTCGTCATACTGCATATTGTATTATAAATCGGTGTATGGCTCCAACTTCCTTCATTCCGTTTTAGATAGGGTACCCGACGTGTATGATAATTGATTTTCTTGTGCATACACGTTGCCACATGTAGATACCTATCATATATTTGAAATTCATAGTCAACGTAACCATTCGCTATGAAGGTGGCGCACCGGAGCAATTTAACCACTTATTCAATCACATCATCATGAAATCATTAAAAATCGAGTCAATCGCAGGCTTTCACTTGTAAAGTACCATCATAGTCTTCCTTCGCTTGCCGTCTATCTCGAGCTGTTGATTAAATCATACATCTCTGTATGTACTTCCACAAGCTCATCATTTGTTGCCAACCAAGCGTCTACGATGTGAGTCAGCCTCTCCGTCATTGCTTTAAGGCGTCGCTTTACGTGTCCTTCGGGACGCTGGTTAACTAGGTCGAGGATTATGTCTGAGGCGGCGGCAAGGTTGATCATGCTTGCGAAGTTGACAGCTGCGCCTTGTGGTTGGGCTTTGATCGATGCGATACTAGGAGGGGTGCTTGGCTTCTCCGGCTCGTCCACCTTCTCCGAGTTCATGTCGCTTGGTTGCGATGTCATGTCGGTAGAACGGCGATTTACAGTGCTATCTCGTACGCGTATCTTGCGAGGCATGTAGTGTTGTAATTTGTTCGGAAGAGAACGGTTGAGAGAAATAGATGGTCTTCGATTCAGTTGCTCACGCTTTAATCTATTAGGAACTTCCTATCCCAAGCAGGGAATTGCCTACTTAGGTAGGCACAAAGGTAGGTACCTAGTGATATGAAGTTCGTATCATGTAGGTACCTAGGTAGGTATTGGTAGCTATCCCTTCTATAGACAGGTATATACCTACCTACCTCTATATATGGCTGCCGTAGCGGGCAAGAGTATACTCGTTTGTTGATATATTCTCGGGTCTCGACAGTTACTATGTCTACGCCACTTACGATGTGAATTCAAAAAAAGCCATACCTCTATCTACGTATTCTAAATCTGGGAGATATGCCTACTATTTGCTGAGAAAATCGCCATATCATAGATATGAGCAATTGTACAGCAAGTTACATGTGAGAAGGGATGTCGTCGACACGCAGGGCGCATGACATGCTCAATATTAATATTTGTGAAATGGAATCGTATTACTACAGTGTCTAATAAACGTCAGCACTGGACGCTCTACTTCTCCCATTCTCCATCTCCAAAGTACCTATCGGGCATGTCGATATCCCACAATGGCCTCTCCACTAGAGCCACCTCAAGAGTCTTTCGTAGTCCTTCGTGTGCGACTGGATCGGCTGTCTCGTTCATTGATGTCTCTTGTTCGTCGCTAAGTGGTACGATACCTAGGATGGGTCGGTATTTGTACGTGTGCCAAAATGCCAAACCTTTTCTTGATTCGGCCTCGAGGGCCGATTTGCCCTGAGCACCTCGAAGTAACGCTAACTCGCCTAAATTCCCATCGTCTGAATCGTCGCTTTCACTCTCGTCTGCCTGTTGACTCGTCTCGTCCTCATCCATAAGATCGGATACGTGACTATCAATGGGAATTTCTTCGGCAAATTCTCCCGTTGCTTGGCGAATTACCTTCGTGGGTCCTGCGGCTCCGATTCCCATCTTACTGCCGGCGCCGCTATCGAGGCCTCTCTTTCGTTTAATTCCCTGCTTTACAAGCTCTCCGTAAGACGCTTCCTCTGGGTCGGTCTGTCCTGTTAAATCCTGTGATAGATCTAACATGAAGAGGAATGTGTTTCCGTAGAGCCAGACTCTATCTCCTGACCAGAGAGCCCCTTTCACGAGGTCGCGGATGTTCCGGAATTCTACCGGGAATCGAGCGATCTGGTTCCTTCTGGACCAGGATGTCAAGGAGCCTAGGGTAGGGTTGATAACCAGGACCTGGGGTCTGGCAGTGATAGTAAGAAGAGTATAATCATCCACGGTTTCGTCGTCGTTCGCTAGAGACGGTTGTGATGTTGGTATGTGATTGGAAAAGGATAAGACGGTAGGAGAGGCTTGAAGTTTAGGGATAAGAGACCCATTCGGATTGCGAGCCCATCGTAAGCCTTCTGCGTCGGCCTCACTTTCGTCATCTTCACTACCAGATGATGCGTCGTCATGAGTTCCGTTCATGCCATTTTGCAGCTTCGGCCGCACTATACCTAACATCCAGGTATCGATATAGCCAGCTAAGTCTGCTACTGCTAACATTTTGCTATCCGGAGAGAATGCGATATGGGTGATCGTTCTATCGTATCTTCCTAGGCCGCCTAGTGTGACATGCTTTTGTATCTTTCGCTCGATACGCTGTAATCGGATTGCTTTAGGGTGAAGCACTGGCTTTCCATCTGAGGCAGAGTCGTGTGATATCTGTACAAGAATAACTTTGCTTCCGCCTTGGACAGCACAAAGCCATCGTCCGTCTGGTGAGACCTGGACTTGTGTCGCGCCTTGCTTGGACACTTCCTCTTGTAGCTCGACTTTGGAGATCTTGAGTTCGTCCCTTTTCGGTTCGCTCCGAGGTTTCAGATAAAATGCTTTAATATCAGAAGTCGTTGACACCACAAGTAGTGAACCGTCATAACTAATCGCCGCCGATGTTATGTTGGCTTCTCCTTTTATGAGTATCCGAGCTAGCAGCTTCCGATTCTTTTCGATAGCAGATTCTCCGTCTGGCGCATCTACCAGATCCCGCAGTGGTTTCCTCAACCTCCAGATGTGAACTTCTCTTTCCCACCAACTAACGATCAGTCTACACTTCGGTGCGCTTTTCAGCGGCGGGCTCTGGGGTAGGTGCGATAGCGTTCGGTGATTCTCCATGCCGGCTTCTTGCAACGGTAGGACGATCGGACTAGCATCCGGGCCTAAAAGAACGGTCAGAGATTATAGTTAGCTAAGGGTAAGACCATATACATACCTCCCGAAACAACAACACTCATTCCGTGCCCCTCGAAAGATGCCATCGTCTTGACGTCATGGCTGTGGTATCTCCTATGCCAAATCTTACCCCATCTTGCTGTCGAGCCAGAGGTCTTCCTATAAAGAACAGTCCTGCGGTCCATTCCACCACTGACAATAGTGGAACCGTCGGCGCTAATTGCAAGAGAGAGGACATCCTGGTTGTGAGTCTGTAGTCTCTGTGCCTGGGTATACGTCTTCCCATCCCATATACAAACCTGGCCAGTAGAGTCGCCCGATACGATGTCGCGTCCATTGATGCATTTAACAGACCAAACAATGATTTCCTTAGCCCCTCCAGAAAGATCAGATCCCAGTGTCATCTTGCGTAAGATATTGCCGTTGCGCATGTCGTAAACTCGGATGGCGCTATCGGAACATCCTACAACGACAACATTACGATTCTGGAATGCCATGCTAACCATCTTAGTCTTCTTGGATGAGGACCTAACAAGTATTCTATCGAATCGCAGATCGTCGTCGTCAACTGAGTATAGAACGAGGCTACCATCCATTGTCCCAGCTACCAACTTCTTCCCACTCTGCACAACACCATTTGCAGATTTCTCGCCGTGTTTTCCGTGCGCAACAAATGGTTGAGCAGCAAGGCACCATATATCACCATGCATACCGCTAGCCTGTTTCCTGGGCTGCCCTTTTTCGAGATCCCATTCGGTCACAGTACTGGTGTAACCGATGCTGAACAGTCTCGACTTTCCAACAAGTTTGGTGCCATCGTGTAGAATTTGGTCAGGCTCCGTAACCCATACTAGACCATCTATACTTCTATCTTTTCCTCCATGCAGAGTAGTCTCCTGGTGCCATATACCGTTCAAGGGATTCCAAATTTCGATATCACCATTCGCGCGACCGATCGCTAACCGCACCGGTGCTGCTCTTTGAGATTTAGTGACGGTCGGGTAAGAAAAGGCGATCGCATTGATAGCGGAAGGGGGGTATGTGACAAAGCGACATCGGTGAATATCCATTGTCGCAGCTTCGAACCGGTTCAATTGTTGTGTATCACCGGGCTCGTGAAGTCGTGGTGTTTGAGAGACTGTTAAAAGATTTCGCATTGACTTGGAACTTTTTTTTCTTTCTTTTCCTTATCGGCTTATCGACTTATCGTTTTATCGTTAGCTTCCAGGTTATGTATGTGGATTTTAGGATGAGGTCCATGCACTACCGGTACCTAGGACCTAGGTAGACTGCTAGGTAATACCCCACTAAGGCATCCCCCCCTTTCTTTTTATCTTAGTGATCATCAATACCTAAGGTTCATAAGCCCGATGCTCAAACACAACCAATGTACCAACAAAGCTTTCAAGTTCCCGAGTTTCCGAGTAATACTGGTCAACTTCTGAAAGACCTCTCTCTATTAGGTAGGTAGGTATTCACTTCAAGTTCAAGGTATGTAGTAGTTTACCTCATATATAAATATCCTAAGTGTTACGTAGGTACCAACAGATATATAATTCTAGCAAGGGGGATTGGCATACATCTCAGCTCTACTACTAGGTACCTATGTAACTACACGCCACACGATTGCACCTTGAATTATTGTTTCCTTAGTCATTATCTTGGTTAATATCAAGGAAACTTGTTAACGAAGGCTGCGTAATATTGGACACAATTGCGACCTCACAAAACTTGGTGGCTGAACATATTTTACGATGCCAATACATCATTTACAACAAACGCAGATGTGGACGGACCTGTTTCATTACCAAGCTACAATCCTACTTCGTCAATGGCAAAAATAGATAGTCACCTATTTACATTGACATTACGATTTCCGGAAATGTTTGGGGTGGGAAATAAATAAAATGACTCCGTGGCACCGCATGAGCATGATTCATCTCCAAATCACACTATACACTTACTACCGGATTAAATAGATATTTACTCAGGTAGCTCTGTCGGGTTATGTAAAGAATATCTCTTGCTTCGATAGCTAACTCTTGATGATACGTTACCACGACTCAGATAATCCGCGATCTATGGACGATGCCTAGCCTAAGCCTTACCGTTATTGTAAGCCCTAAAGAAGGTTCCTCTCCACGAAACGCTAATGTATGGACTTATTGTCGTCCAAATTTGGGGTGGTTGTGGGGTAAAATCGCCTGGTATGAAACTTGGGAGCCTTACGTCAGAAGCTTAAACCCCTTGATCAAAAATGCCTTCAGCCCCCAAGCGTCGCGACTTTGTGGCGTTTTCTAAAGTAACAATCAGCCCCGGTAGGTAGAGAAGCCAACTTCCTTTTTCATCATTGAATAAGTCTCATACCACACGTCTTTTAATACGAATGAGTTGATTTTTTGTAATGTCCTGCCAAATGAAGAAAGGTTCCGCTGCTTATAGGATTCAGTCCAGATAGTTTCGGTATGCCATGAATGCTTCCGGCATCTTGGGACCCTGGTTAACGATTAAATACATTCTCTGAGGTTAATGTTCAAAACTGTAATACTTCTATGATTCTAACTATCCCCTATTTTAAGGAGGAGCTACGTCAATGGTAGCATAGGTCTGAAGGATGGACTCCAAGATCTCAGACACCACCTGGGCACACAACCTATTCCTGCCCCATCTCAGGATACGGGAAAGGCCCGACCAGTACACTACGATGGAACAGAGTGGCTACCAGCCTAACGTCCTACATACAAAGTACCACGAGACCGCCCTACCGGCCTTATGGGGACCAGGAGAACCCGGATGAATATATGGCTTCATCAGTAATATATCGCATACGAACGAGGCTTAAAATATATCGATTTATGGTAGGATCGGGGTATTTCGCCAAGTCTTGTACAAGTTTGAATCGAGAGAATCTTAGAGGGTAAAGATATATAAATCGATCAAGATACCCCTTATCAACTTCTTTGGATATGCTTCTCCTTAAGCACTAACATCAGAATTATTACCTCCCTTTTATCCCTTAACTTCTCTACAGCCATACTCGTCACCATGTACAGCAAGCTCAATTCGGTGTTGGCGCTGCTACTTGCCGGCTCCGCGCTTCTGACCCAGTCCATTGTGGAAAGCAAACTTGTATTTGCTCATTACATGGTAAATATCCCATGGGAAATGTAAACACTCATATTAACAGTACAATAGGTCGGTACTGTAGATGCAAACACCAACCACGCGAAGTTGGATATAGATGGGGCGATCAATGTCGGATTTGATGCCTTTGCCTTGAATGTGGGAAACCCAACTGCAGATTGGGCCATAAACACCGCTCAGCAGCTCTTTGATTACGCAAGCACTAAGCCATTTAAGCTGTTCTTCAGCTTCGACTTCTATGGCAATGGAGATATATCCCAGCACCAGGCCCTGTTCACTCAGTTCAAGGATCATGCCGCATACTTGAAGTATAATAATTTGCCCGTCGTATCATCATACAGCGGGGGTAGCGTCGGCCCCGATACGTGGAAGAATTTCAAGAACACCAACAATGTCTACCTCATCCCGAACCCGGAAGCCGACGGTAATTATTACAACAACCCGTCTGCATTTTTCCAGAGCTGGGGCGACGCCATTGATGGGGTTTTCACTTGGGAGACATCCTGGCCCGATACCTCTGACAGGCCCGTAAATGTATCTTCGACGAAGGACCAAGCCATTAAATCGGCTGCCGACGCCGCCGGCAAGGCTTATATGATGGGTAAGCCACACGAGTGGAAGATCAGTGAACAATCAAGACTGACTGATCACAGGCCTCTCTACTCTTCAATACAAGCACTGCTGTGGCGACTCCTGGTACCGAGCCGGCGAAACAACCCTCCCTGAGCGAATGGAGCAAATCCTTTCGCTATCGCCCGATTTTACCGAAGTTATTACCTGGGTAAGCAAAAATTTGAGCTTCCACCTACTTAAGAAAAGAAGGTCCTGATACTAATTTCCACCACGTTAGAACGACGCCGGAGAAAGCCACTACATCGGCCCCTGCTGGGCCGAGGGCCTAACCTCCGAGATCCTCCAGTATGGCAACTCGGACACGATCCCCCACGACGGATGGCAGCCCCTCATCGCCTCCTTTATCGATGCCTTCAAAGCTGGGGCTACGTCCGTCGGATCCATGACTCCGCACTCCGGCGCTTTCGCAGGCACCATGTGGTACCGGGGCGTTCTAACCAGCTGCAACGGCGATTCACTGCGCGGTTCCGGTGCCGCTGTCGACGCGGTAAACTACGCGGTCGTTTTGCCGAAGGGTAGTTCGGGCATGAGTATCCGTGTCACGAGCGGGGGCCAGGTACTTGCTACGCAGGCCGTGAGCGCTGGGTTGAATTATAGATCTGTCTCCGGGTTAAAGAAAGGGGCTCAGAAGATAGAGCTAGTGAATGGGAGTGGTCAGGTTGTTGCGAGTGCGAGTAGTAAGGTGGATGTTTCGGATAGCCCGACGAATGGGTTCTGTAATTTCAACTACTATGTCGCTGGGCTGCAATGAAGTTGGAGGGCCCTAGTTAGTCCAGTACCAGGATCAAATCAATATAGGTGTTTCCCCTTGGTTTGGTCGCCTTAATGAGTTTATGAGTTCCAACTAACCCCCTATTCCTCTGCTAACACCTAGGTACCCACAGTTATCCCTACCTAAACACCAAAGAGAATCAATTGAACATAGGTGGGTAGTTGAATACAAACTACCCAACATGGGATATTTAGTTGGAAATAAATTCACCGGCAAGGAATTAAATATTAATAGGTAGTGGTACATCAAATTAAAACACATTTATAGGAATCGCAGAGGATCCTATTCTTTTTTTTTTAAAAAAAAATACACAAAATACACGGCACATTTAAGCTGATGATCAGATCTGGCACTTCTATGACAACCGTTATCCTAAATTTTACAGTCTCCGAAGAGCCATTTAAAGCGAGATCTCGGACATCCATTAATAACGCCTATAGGCTCATAGACTAGTGCTTGATCATGTCAATTCTCATTCAACCTATCTTCATTGATCATATGATCATTATGACCACGTGTCTCCCATATCTGCATCCCATTTCCTTTTCCTAGATACGGCATAAGCCGAGCGTGTGGATATCCTCATCCAAATTTGCGTTCGGCCAACTCCCTACCACTATCTATTCGTATGCGATCCTATCGCATCGGCTGAGAATAGTCGGGAACCAATTGAGGACAGTTGAGCATCATCGACACGTATTGGTGGCCGTGAGCCGGTATATTGGATAAACAATCCAAACATAACAATCCTTTATAAAATATAGTCGATGGTCGCAAAAGTCGTGGCAGAGCTAGACACTGCTGAGGTTATATCAAGAATTGTATTCTCCGTATACCTAGACGATTGAACCTGGATTCGAGATTCGCAGTGTCTGTGTACTATTACATGTGATTGCATAAATCGCATCTGCAACCGCGTCACTGCTTTTGAGCGGTCTGTTGGTCCTCGTTGTCTAGAGGGGACTCGTGAGCCGCCGACTTCATCTTTGAGTGGGGTAAAACGTCGAGGCCTTGAGATTTCCTAGACGTCGAGCTGCTGCGTTTGCCTTCCTGGCTACTACGACCTAGCGGGGTATCGCCGAACGAATTCTGGGCCGTGGGTGTATTAGCCTGGCTGCCCCCACGCTGGCCGTGGTAATGTACGACTTGCGGAGGCGGCTGTCCGTGCTGACCTAGGAGATGCTGCGGATACGGATCCAAGTCCTTACTGGAGGTCGAGAATGTCGAGACGACAGGTTGATGGTAGCCGTTTGTCGAATTACTCCCCGTCGAGACGTGACCGGGCTGCGGGGCGTGTGTGGCTTGAGGCAGTATCGCATGCCCGCTATGTTCGGCCTGCGTCGGTGTACCTGCGTCGTTCGGAGTCGCCGGTCCGTCGAGCTGGCCTGTCAAGCTTGTCATGCCGCCTTCTATGTCGCGAAGTAGGCGAACGTATTCTTCGGGCACCAGACCGCTTTCCTGAGTCTTAGGGTCTTCTGCCACAAGCCAACCCTGGCCGTGCCTATACGATACCCAGATGATCTGACCTTCTACTAAAGGCAACTCATTCTCATTCTCCCTCTCGAAATCAAATAATGCGACGGCCTTGCCGTGCATCTCCTCGTCTGGCGAGGTGATGGTAAATTGGTAATCTCTCGAATATCTCGATTCGTCGTACGGACGATATCCCGGGGACGAAGCGGCACTCGAGGCGTCCGATCCTGACCGATACCCTGCCTCGTTCTCGGCATAATTCCGTGGCCGCTGATCTGACGATGTTTGATATGCGTTGACAGAATGTCTTGCTTGCTCAGGCGGATATGTTACAAATTCTCCTCCAGGACCGTTCGCCTCCCCACCCTGACTCACGTAATACCTTTCGCTCCCGTCACCGCTCGTCCCTACGTAATATCCTCTCTCCACATCCAAGTTACTCGTGCTTAATATCGATGACGCGCCGCCGTCCCTCGAACTTCGTGCCTTATGATGCCCTGTGACCGCCGACGTCGACTTGTGCTTCCTATGCCGCGAGCTGACGACAGGGCTCTGCAGATCTTCGTCCTCGCTCCAAGGTGGACCGTCGCCAAAATGAATCGGGGCTAGCTCGCCACCCTTTCCAAGACCGCCGTCCGAAGTCCAGTCCCATCCCATCTTACTTTCCCACGAGGCAGGCGGGTCCGACAGTCGTCTCGTCTCGCTAGCGGGGGTGGTCATGCCGGAGGGTGGTCTCGAGGGCTCCGGCGGGGGGCCATAGTGCATGAGATGTGTGGGCGGATAAGCGAAATCTCGTACGGTAGTGTAAGAAAGGCTGGAGTGGAAGATGGGATATAGGTAAGAGGCGGGCCGCGACCGCGACGGGACGGATCCCGTCGAGTACTGTGACAGTCGATTCTTGGAAGCGTGGGACATCGGTCGCGGTATGACTGATCGTCGGGAAGGTGGTGACGTTATTAGGGGAGCTAAGGCGGGGTGATTCGGATTCGTGGTCGAAGTCGAGGTCGTCGGCGTGGTATTCTGATGTTGCGACGGAGCTGCTGGAGGCGAGATGGCTGGCGATGAGTACGATGAAGACATAATTGCGGTCATCGAGGAAGGGAGACCGGAACAGTCTTCGAATGCGTACCCAAGATAGAAAGATATATGGTGGAATTCTACGCAATGCGTATTACTACGTGCGCCGTCTCTTCGCACAGTCGGTCCGGTGCAGACAGCACAGCACGACAAAGAGACACCTACACAATGCGATTGGCGCCTAACAGACTCGGCCCGCAAGTTGTTTCGCAATCGTATGCGACACTTGATCGACGGTTCGACGTTGTTTAATTAGTCAGGATCGAAGTCAGGGTCGGAAACGGTGGCGTTGTTAGGATCGTATATAAAATTCCCGAGGAACGATTCTGCTTCACGTTCACGACGATACGGCGACAAAGACTTGCGAACTTTGCCTTCCTCTTCAAAGAGGTTAGCCGAACTTGTCAGCCTCTACGCGAATAGTACCCGGAATACGACGAGGACGTCCGTATGAGTATAGGTCAAGATCCTAGTGTTGTCGTATTATAATTCGTCGTTGAATTAAGTCGTATTCGCGGCGTATATATCTATACCTGAAGGTAAAAAGAGAGCGAGGCGGCAAGGGAGAAAAAGAATGTCGCGAACTGAAATGTAGGCGCTGGCGCATATATTGTTGGTTATGTCTACTACGTAGGATAGAGAAGACTCGAGGTCTCGAATCCGAGTCTTAAGGTGAAAAAAAAAGGTTAGAGCCGTGTTAAGAGCCCTGGGCTGGCCTGTTGAAGCCTACGAAGAATAAACAGAGGCACTGGGGTGAACAAAGGTTAAAAAAGTGTCGTAACTCTCAAAAAGTACAAAAAATCACTTTGTAAATTTGGCGGTAGGGTAAAGTTTAGTTAGTTCTCTTAGCGGTAGGCCACTACCAGATTACCTAGCCCTGGAAGTGCTAGGCAGGTCTGGCAGGTGTAGTACTAGCACTGTGGAGATCAGATGGGAAAGTTTGAGTGGGGAATGGAGAATGGAAAATGGAATGCAGGTTGAAGTTCTGTTCAATGTTGCTTCCAAATTGCTTGCTTGCCTGCCTGTCTGCTCCTGCAGTCTGCAGTGGTTGGGCAAGTCCAATTGGCAATTGCGAGAACATTTAATAACTAGCAGGATCAATTGGAGCATTAAATTTTGTATTGCAGTGCAATATTGTACCCGGCTACATCCCTTAGGCTGGTAGGTAGGTCTAAGTTCATGTAGCGGGATTAGCCCAGGACTAACAGTGGCTTAGCTGCTTGTCAAGATTTAATGTTGCCTATCCGTTGTAGAATCATGTATATTAACCATTGGCTTATTATGATAATACTTACTAGTAGTATCCATCATACATACTTCTTGTTTATTGACGATAACTTCAAAATAATCATCATAATATTCCTACCTAGGTACCTAGTAGTAATATACATTCCAAAGACAGGTATCGATATGCACATTGTATTGTGTTACGAACCTAATCGCAAACGGAAACCAGGACAAGTCACCAACCTCTAGGCTCTAGCGGCTCCTATCTCATCTAACTGATGACTGGCTACAGGGAGGTCTAGAATTGGTTGCGATTAAGCGCGCGGGACAAGAGATCCTACTGGCCGGTTCCCTTATTTTAGCGGCTCTTCGCCCTTGGGAACCCTTACGGCGGGCTAGGCGGGGTTCAGCAAATAAGCACCTGAGATGCACCGGTGGCACCGGTTGCCTGTCGAGCCTGCTAACATTGACAAGTCACCACCAACACGCAAAGATGGAGGCTGAGACGATACAATGATCAAATTGAATTTAAGGAAAGTAGGTGCGCGTTTCAAGGAGCCTGGCTCAAGGTCACAGTTGTCTTCTGTGTGTTATTGAAGGGCTGAAGCGGAGGGAGGCTGTCGATAATTGGATCATCTTCGCTGCGAGGAATACTATACCCACCAACCACTAGGTACCTAGGTAGTTAGGTAGGCAGCCTACTAAAGAAAGTGTATTAAGACGATGAATAAAAGCGAGGGATTGTCCATTTTCTATCTACCTACCTTATACCACCAGTATTATCCGTATATCATGTGTCACTTGCATCCGGATGTTATTATAATTGAAAAGACGATGGAAACAGGTATACATAGAATAGTAAGATAATATTCATTAAGATTATACCTACCTAGCTAGATAGCAACAACGTTCTCCTAGATCGAGTGGGCGTATTATATCAATTAGGTTCCAGGTAATGGTGAGGAAATATTACTTAGTAATATATAATCCAACAACACATTACATAGTATATAGAGGTTTCAGACTAGGTACATATAAATTTAATAATTGGAAAGTTACGTAGGTACCTTTTATAGCCACCTGGATATTCCCACAATGTGAGTTATTTCCGTTGATATAAGGCACCTAGTGATGATGTTCAGAATTCTCGACGTGAAGACTTACATGAAATACTTCGTCATGCTTCCTTAGCGCTCACACTATGCAGCAACACCACATTTAATCCTGCGGATATGATTGACGAATCCGATGATGAGCCCGAGGAACTATGCATCTAGTCAATGGTGAAACAAGTCGGCATCGCTGATTCGTGCCGCACACGTGACCCCTAGCCGATGCCTCAGTCCGTCATCGCTAATTCACCACATGCATAGATGTTACGAGCACAAAAGAGCGGTCTGATATTAGTCGGTACTGGAAATTCGAATACAGACGATGACTTACGAAAAATGTTAGGTTTGCTGGAAACAAGGCTATGATATATGGTACTAGTGTAATGAAGTTCTCGTAATAAAGAGCTCCAGCCACCTAGCTAATAGGGGAGGGGTTATGTATCGCAATGAACAAGGTGACCCTTTCATCCAGATGGGATACAGCCTAGGTGACGCCTTGTCATTGTAGAGTAGAGAGATGGTGTAGTTTCGGTGGTGGGAGGTTGAAAACTCGTCTGGTGTTGCGCATGCGAGCCGGACCGGAATGATAGCTGGTTGGATCGGATGTTGCATCGAACGGGAGGACAAGTTGGAGTAAGTAGTCTAACCTGTGTAAGGGGGAGACTCGGAGTGTACGTATGCAGATGATGTTTCTATTTCTGGACATATATCAATTTCGACTGCCTTACTTGCTCTGCATGTCGGGCGCCGACGTACAAACCGGATACGTCGTAACCGCTTCATTGGATATAATTTCTCGCCGGAGTGGTGATTGGTGTCACTCTGTCGCCTGTTTCACATTTTTTGCGTCTATGTTGCCCCCCCTCATTCAACCTCAGAACCTTGAACTTGGAAGAAAGCTGAAGGTGGCAAGAACTTACCATATACTACTATATTGATATATCTAGTAATTTAAGTGCAACAGAGATTTATTAGAAGAATCTAGAAATCATACCTAGTAATTATGGTTCAATACATTTATTCAATTTTGATTATGTAAGAGACATCGCTGTAGTAGTAGGTACTTAGTACCTAGTACCTTCATAGTGGTAGCTCAAGGTTGACGGTAAGAAGCCCCGCTATATACCTAAGTACTTGGTACCTAGGTATGTATTTATATGAATATCCGTTCCAAACCGAAATGGATTAATGATAAGCCGCCACACATTGATGTGTAATCCGCAATCCTTGTTTGTTAATAGCTTTCACCAATTTGCATCAATATATTTTCAACGCGCATCATTCCAACGAACTCGACAATTGCGCACGCTACATATCTTCTATACGAAAAGTAAGTAAGCCAAATCTCTTTTTGCTCGCTCGTTTATTTTCTCAAACGATTGATATATTTTCTTAAATGATGAAAATTAATATTGGAGCTGTCTTACTTTCCTATGGTGACACCTAACATTACCTTACGCAACATTATCTGAATTAATCGGGAAATATTATTTCAATTTACTCAATCTACACTCTTACCTACCGAGGTGTTTGGGGAAACTCGTTAACAGAATTAAACAGGTCTGTAGTGTGTTTGCTGTCGTGGTTTGCAATTGCTGAGCATGCGACGAGCTTCGTCGACATCTACTTTGCTCATGCGATTGAGCTAAATACGCTATCCAAATATACGAAATGGAAGTTGCAAATGGAACCCCAGCCCCTGGTGCTCCGGCAACAAATGGCGAGCGAGAAGATCCAGGGGGCTTCAAGCTAAAATTCTGTACTGTCTGTGCCAGTAATCAAAATAGGTATTCCTCTTAAGTTTAAACCACATTCCTATATCAGACGAACTTACACAAAGAAGGTCGATGGAAGCACATCTACGACTATCGCAGGCTCACTATCCCGTCATATCTTTTGGTACAGGGTCTCTTGTTCGGCTTCCCGGACCTTCGATTACTCAACCCAATGTATACCAGTTTAATAAGGTATCGTACGATGCGATGTATAAGGAACTCCACGAGAAAGATCCCAGGTTATATACTGCCAATGGTCTATTGAACATGCTAGGAAGAAATAGACAAGTGAAGTGGGGACCAGAACGATGGCAGGATTGGCAAATAGGCATTCCCAGAACCGATCATACGACAGATCGCGGAAGCGAAGGTACGGAGGGTGGCGTGGTCGACATCGTTTTTACGTGCGAAGAGAGATGTTGGGATGCTGTCATTGATGATCTGTTGAATCGAGGTTCCCCGTTGAACCGTCCCGTTCATGTCATCAACGTTGACATCAAGGATAACCACGAAGAAGCCTCGATCGGGGGTCGAGGCATTCTCGACCTCGCAGACTCATTAAACAATGCGGCTAGGGAGGAACGTGAGAGCATGGGACCCGCCGCATTCGACATGGCGAGCGCTGCTAGCAGGGCCACATTTGACGAACGTGTGCCGGAGATAATTGGAGAATGGCAGGAGAGGTGGCCGAATTTGCCGGCGACGTGGACGTTAGCCTGGTTTTGATATGTGGTTGCGGAATTTCTTTTTACCCATGATACCCCGGAATATTTTCCATCACCGATGATTAGAGGCGTACCGACACTTGATCATTGCCTGAAATTTGCAGCTTAGAATGACAATTACCAATTCTTACCACTAGATCTGGTTTAAAGACGTGGCAAGGCTAGTTGTGAAGAAAAGCTCTACTAATATTTCCTAAGTTACGTTACCATCAAAAACAAATCTCAATGACACTTGGAATTTGTTCTCTCCTAGTGTCAGCGCTGTCCAATCCTAAGCTCCCACCGAACTACGTCTCCCATAAACATAACAAGCACCCAAAAGCAATTACGATATGAGAACAACTTCAGATGCTGATTAATTGAGAGGTTTTTTTTTAATTCTTTTCAGGCTAAGTAACATGATACTGGCAGAGTAAGGAAAATCAGCTACACATCCTACTTACACCTTTTAGAAACAGGAGTCAAAAAGAGTCGCACTCCTCCTAGACCAATCATCCTTCAACCATTATTATAAATGGGTTTGTTTTTTTCGATGGGCTTCGTGATTCGGCCCATATCATTTTCTTAGCAACCCAAGGATAGAATATCCTTCGAATGAGGTGATATTGCAGGTGACATGTTTTGAGGGGGATGAATATTTGGACTAGAATTTCCAACCTACCTACCTAGGCAGCTAGGTAGGGAGGTACCTACACAAATACCTACCCCTAACTACCTATCCCGAGTATATAATGGATACATTCGAGGGGTAGTCGATTCTAGTTATACTAAGTTGATATACTATGTACCTACCTTTGTGTAGCTAAAAAAAACACCAAGTTTTCTCACACCAGCTGTCTTAAATTTGATTCAAAAGATCTTACGAGATATATCCACATGCAATCCGAACAAATTGTGAATTCTAAGACAATATGTTTGGTGAAGTTGTTAAGATTGATATACCACATCTCTTTAATATCTCATGAACACAATCATGGTTACCTATATGAACCAAAATTATTGGTCATGGATAGCTTCTCCTTAGGTAGGCAACAAAACTCACAACGACAATAATTGTCTACCTAGGGAATTCACATTGATTTTCTTTCAAAAAGACCCAACACGCGAATATGATTATGCATAATCATGCTCTCATAGTAGAAATATGTTGATTTGGTTGAAAAGATTATTTATTTATTTCCCTATCTAACGGGCTATTACTTGAAGTCTTCCTGCAGAATTGTGAGGTTATCAGCATAATTAGTGATAGCTTCATAATATGGATTTAGGCATTCTTAATCCGAGGAGTTACGTTCTACATGTCAATCAGTTACCACTCCTAAATTTATCGTGATAATAGTGATGACGAGTTCATCGAGTCATTGAATTATAATCGCACATGTTACTAGTTATTGGTTTAAGTAATTCTGAGTCAAGATCTTTCGACGGGCAAGAATAGGGGAGCCCTAACCCCCTTTAGTCGCTATAAAATTTCTTGATGCGGGAGCCACTGAAGCGCGCGCGACGAGAACCGCTCGAACTCCACGACAAACCATCATCATTAGCCAATGAGAGTTCGGCTTAAGCTGCCTTCAGCTTATTTGCGTTGAAGCTAATCGTATCTAGGTAAATGATATTATTGTGCAACATATTTGACCGAATAGTGCTGACAGGATGAGGAAATCCCCAAGTCCAATTAGCCCCCGTCTCTTTTTCCCCATCGGCAAGGAAGGGGAAATCTGACAAAGAGATATCATCATCGGGGATAGAACGAGATGGGGAACTTTAGCTGTAGATCTTTTTTTGATCTCGATTTTCCCATCCCGCCGGCGGATGGTCGAGACTTACGATGCCCCCGTCCGACGATCTTTTCTCTCTCCCTCTTTTCTCAAGTAAGCACATAAAAACAAATGTCAACGGTTTTAATGCCCCGTGTGCTTCTAGAATGCAAATAATAATTGTTACATTTTCACGGGTGATTCCGCACCAGCTGGGCGCTAGTCATTTCCAGTTTGAAAACTGGAGCAAAGAATGAAAGGTGGATGGCGCAGCATATTTTTAATCTTAAAAATATCCATCCCTAGGTATTTTGGTTGAAGATGAGCGATGTACCTTCACCTCCAATACTTCGCTCACACTAGGTATCCCTGCGGGTGCATAAAAAGGAATACTGCAAACACTACTACACCATCGACGCGAAGAGATCCAAGAAAAGCTTATTTTACTATGTAAAAATATGTAGGTGTTAAAGCAAGCATAATTTTTCGTGATTGCACCATTTTTTCGTCATAGGGCATCTCCACGATTCATTGCAAATACCTCTCTATACAGCTTTGAACCTTGGGTCCTTAGGACATTGAACTATTGGGATATGAGAAATTATCGACGAAGGATACAATGTTTAAAGCATAACCAGGTACCTACATAGTACCTACCTACATAAATTAGGTACATGAAGCATACGTCAATATAGGTTATGCAGGTAAGTACATTGTGTACATAGTAATTTCACAATGGGCGGAGATAAATAGGAAACCACTTACTGGACCCATTCCGGCGTTCGTCGTAACTGCTAAAATGTGGTTTAGTCACGGTCAGCACGGTCAAAACTGTCTAGTCAGGCGTGATCCCCGGTCAAACTGCCCTGAATACGTCTCCGCCCCTTTTCCCAATTGGTCAGAAACCCCTGTCGACCCCCGTCTCCCCCGTCTTGCTTCAACCACCTTTGAGGTAAAGAGGTTTCATTCATGCTTCCACCATCTTTTTTTATTTTTTTAGGATGTTCGATTTAATATACTGCAACAACTTGTAAATTCTCCCACAAACTTTTAAGGTTGTTTCCCACCTACGGCGCATTTCTGTACATGCTATACATACATGACTCATGTCCAATGCGTTGTATTTGCCTGTAACTTGCCTGTACCTGCAGCAATCCTCCTTGCAACTTGCAACCTGCAACCTGCAACAACTTGCTTGCATCTTGGAATTATCCAACTTGAGACGCCACCAGCCACAAGACACCTTGGAACATACGTTCTTTTCACCCCCCCAAGTTTGAAATTCGAAGTCTGTCGACGGACTTTGCTTCTTCCTTTTCTTTTACTCGGTTTTCTCACCCCGAAAGCCTCATCCCTTGCCTCAATTCTTAATTTCCTTTCCATTTTGATCATATAACCTGTTGCGCGTGGAATGGGGATAGCAACATCTGCTACAGTTACAATTTCGACCCAAGACTTTCTGTGCCACGATTGTACTACGTTCCTCGTCACCTATTCCTATCGGTCGTACCAGACTTACATTCTACTGCCGCGAGATAAAATTCGCTTTACCTTATCAAATTGTTATCACGCGCTCTCGTCTTCCCCCTCGGCGGCTTACCGTTGCTTTTCGGATGGGAAAGGGGTAGAGATTTAGTGAATTACCGCAGAGCAACAGTTGAAAGAAGGAAAAGTCAGGACCGGTTTTCGATTCGGGTTAGGAATCAAGGGGGAGCTAGCTGCAGCTGCATTAGATCGGATTTGACAGTACTAGGCTGGGCTAGGTTTGAGACTTCTACCGCCGCCTCGATTCCCATTCCCATTCCTACTCCCATTCCTATTCCTCCTCTTTCACGTGGCGCGCGCATTTCTCCCCTCCGCCTTTCTTTGTTGTTTGCCTTAGCCCCAAAGACATCCAACATCACGCTCGCATACCCAACCTTGATGTTGACCATGAATACCCGAAATGCGCCGCTTTCACCTGTCTCTGTAGGCGCTGGCAGCGAATGGTCCGGAATGTCAAAATACCAAAACGTCGACAACGACGGTCCTTATCCCAACAATCGAGGCCCCGTCTCCCCCCCAGACTCCAACGGTTCCAACGGGAACATGAATGGCTTCCCTCCTGGTCCGAGGAGCGTAGGCGGTCCGTCGCCGCCACCTTCTGTCGGACGTTCTAGTGCCTACGCGGGAAGCGAGAGCGGGAGAAGTCTCCGCGAAGAAGGTACCGAAGCGGTCCTAGGGGAACATTACGTCGCCCTCAAACGTTACTTATCTTCCACTTCCAAGGATGGCAGGGCGAATCCACCTCCTAATAGGGCAAGGGACAAGTTGTTGCGCCTGTCTTCGGTTCAGTTTTTGGAGTTGTCGACTGACGTCTTTGACGAATTGATGCGACGGCAAGCTTATAGTCGAAGGCCACCCAATGCACCCCCCAACGTCGGTCCGCCGACCTATTTATTACCCGAAGACACCTTTCACCCGAAGCGTAATCAAGCTCGACAGAAACTTTCGACCCTTGGCTCGCCTAGATTTAGAGACCTCGCGACGGACGTGTTCTGCGAATTGGAAAGACGCATACCTCGATTTATTGCTGGGGATATTCCTCGGATGAGTACTCCGGGAATGCCTTCGAGCCGAGCGGGCACACCAATGGGTATGCGAGGGCCAAATGGCATGCGACGACCGTCAGACGCGAGCTCCATCCGCTCGGCAGCTCCGAGGGTTGCCGGCGACTATCCCGTGCCGCCGTCGCCTGGTCTTGGAAATGGTAATTATGACCGTCCTCTCGCCAAACAATTCCAGAGCAATACGATAGTGCCTAACAAGAGCACGATGGTCGAGGAAGACGATGAGGGTGGGTCGAACGACGAGAGCGATTTTAGATCACGTAACCGAGAGAGTAAAAGAAGTATTGGAACAAGTGGTGGCTTGTCTGAAGTAAGTTTTCAATGAACGCCGCCGTCGGTCACCGAGAGCGACTTGGATTTTAACTTACCGATTTTAGGTGGACAAGAAACTTATCGACGACTACCAAATCCAAGTACGGGAGCTACGGGATAAGATAGACGGCATGGAGGACCAATTAAAAAAGAAGGACGACGAATTGGTCCAATTGATGGATGGCGAACGATCCCGTTCAACAGCCTCTAACGTGGAAAAAAGAGAATGGGATGACCTGCGCACAGGACTCGAGAGCAAATTGGCCGAAGCGCAGAATCTGAACGAGTCCTTACGAGAAGAGCTCGACAGGGTGAGAGATGATAATGCCATGGAGACGCGGAAATTAAGGGAGGAGCTTGAAGAGGCTCAGCAAAGCGGTAGCAATAGGGGCATCGGGGGAGATTCTGAAGTTGCTAAGGAGAACGAGGAGCTACGCAAAGCACTTCAAGAGCAGCAGCAAGTGACGGAAAGTGTGCGGTTAGAAGCTCGGCAATTCTTGGAAGAGATGAAGATACTCTCGCAGCAACACAGCCCCTCTTGGGAGAGACAGTCCGAGCTGGAGAAGACCGTCGAGCGGCTAGAACAAGAAGTCCGGGACTGGCGAAACCGTTACGCCCGCACCAAGACCCAACTTCGCAACATGCGTGCCTCATCGATGGGACTTACGATCGATCAGGATGCCGGCAAGTATGTGCGAGAGAGGGGCTTCACGGAAGATGAAGGTCTGGTTAAGGACGTTCACGTCACCAAGTTTCAAATTGCCATTGACGAATTATTGCAGAGGGCTCGTATCGATGACCCGGACAAAGTGATTGACTCTATGAAAGCGGTAATCGTCAGTGTCCGACGCATCACCAAGGACATCGACGAATCCCAGCCTAATGACGGGGAACAAATCCAGCAGCAGCAGAAGCTTAAAAGCCGTGTATCTGCCACCGCAAACAACTTAATTACCGCATCCAAGAATTTCGCTTCCGGGGCCGGTATTTCCCCTGTCTCTCTGCTTGATGCGGCTGCTTCTCATCTGGTCGCTGCTTTGGTGGAACTATTACGAATCGTGAAAATCCGCGCCACGCCGGCTGGCGAGTTAGAGGCTGGCGATGATGGCACGGTGACGCCGGTAGAGTCGACCGGGTTCTTCTCGAATCGCTCTACGACGACGCAGCAGGAGGAAGCGTATATGAGACCGCAGGATTCTCCTCTTGTACCCCCTCCGCCTTTCCAAGGTCTGCGTGCCGGAATACGTGATAGTGCCAATTCTTCCGCATATAGCCCTGTTAGCTCGCCGAGGGAATCCAGCGAACGGTATAACGGCGGCGTAAACGGGATGACTTTCATGGGGATAAATAAGAATAACTCCCCCAACGGCTTGGGACGACAGGATGCCAAGAACGAAGATCTCAAGATATATCTCGAAGATCAAACCGAGATCATGGTTCAGACCATCCAAGGCCTGGTCGGCTCCATCCGTGGGGATGCGCCCATCCAGCAGATCAACGACGAGATTACATCGATCGCCGATATCGTCGGCAAAGTTGTTGCGCAGACTGAGGCGTACGGCAACAGCAGCGAGATGACGGATCGACTATCCGCCTGTCGCCAACGCTTACTTGAAGCTGGTGAGCAGGGTAAAGATCTAGCAGCTCGCGGCCTCGGAGATAGCGACAGGGAATGGCGTATGTGGACGCAGACGCTACCGCCTATCGCCTTCGAGATCGTACGCGAGACTAAAGACCTAGTCCAGCGAATCGACCGTCTGGTCATGTCACCAACCGCAGACGATTTCTCCTAGAAGGGGTGTACGAAGCGAACGAGGTTCATGCCGATACCTTTACGTCTCATTGTTTGAATTCCAAAATTGAGTTCAAACTCGTCATTTTCCCCCTTGTGCTCTTTATTACTTTTTTTTTGCATCAGGTCTCGATCAGATACCCCGTGGGCTTTTTGCTTTGATGGATTGTGCAGAGCCGTACGATAGTCGGCTCGATTTGTACCTAACTTATCACTTACTCTTCGAGCAGATGAATTGAGTCGATGCGACGACACATTTCACCGGCATACCATACATACATACATACATACATACCAACCTATCTAACTTGACATTGATCGTTTCTCATCACCGGCTTCGCGGATTGTTCGGTTCGGTGGGGAAATCGACAGAGTTACGATAGAATGGGAATCAATTTCTTTCTATTTTATATTATTATTATTACAATTATTAAGTTGGCATCTTGTTCGCTACGATATATAGACGGACAAGAAAGCATCGGCGGGGTGGGTAAGATTATAGTGGGTGACTCTTGCGTGCAAGATGGCTTTATGGGTCCCGGGTCTTTTTTTAATGATCTCCGAGAGGGGTCTCTATCTCTCGCGGCTGCGGCATGGGTGATGGGAGCTAATGTCCTGCGAAGAGGTGACGATTACAGACGAGAACAAAGCCGGCAAATTACTGTAAAATAGACATCGTACACTGCTACAGGGACTTGGTGGGACGTTGGGTTAATTGACTATATATAAGGTCAAGTTTTCGCTCGAGAACTATGTATTTGGATACGGTGTCTTCCGTGATATTGAGCGACATGATGGGTATAATATCAGCTACAGCTACCTGAGTACCTGGTATATCTTGAACATCTGTCGACCCCCTTTATCTATGTCATTATATTTTCTATATTTCTGCACCGTTACCGTATGTCCTCGCTCGCTAATCGAACACTAGGACCTTTGAAATCCTCCGAACCGAGCGACGTACTTCACGAGCTGTTGCCGATAGCACAGGGTTGAGAAAGGGTGATTAACTAATCAGCTAGGTACTATCGTCATTCCTCGACACTGCCACGTTCCGCGAGATAGATTGTTTACGGGACCGTCCCGGCATCAGCGGATGAGGCGCCATCCATTCTCTCCCTTGCCGTTCCCCGTTGCGAGATTCCGCAGCTGTTTGGGATGGTCGAACTCCAGGTTCAGTGTTTCGACGTCCTCTAGCAGTCAGGGCTACTGCGAGGGATGAAGGTGGAGGTTTTGTTGTTGATGGAGCTCGAGATGAAGGCGATGGGGGTTCAGTATGGCGCTGGATGTTCGACTTAAACCCAACTGAACTCTGAGTCTTGGTAGATTCCTCTTCCCCTTTCCGATCTTGGATCAAGGGTGGCGGTAATCGTTCGAAGCTCGGCGTGTTCTTATTCTGTGGCGTCTCTGATACCGACGCGAATGCCGTCATACTCCTCTTACGACGCTGCCCAAGATCGTGCTCTCGTTGCGCGAGTCCATCATGCAGCAGAGGGACTATCTCCGCCCACCGTGCGCGGCACTCTTCGGCACTCTTCTTCGTCCAAATAAGCCTAGCCACGTCGTCCCAATGACTCACGCCGTGTCGTGCCACCGCCTGCTTCAGGATGTTATCTTCGATCTCAGACCAGCGAGATTTTATCTTGGGGCTGGAATCTGGCTCTGGAGGAGGACGTCTTGACATATTGGGAGATATGTTCCTCTACTTCGAGCTAGGGTTAGGTCTGAGGTATACAAGTGAATGGGTATCTACCTACCTAACTTGATGGACCTTTGAGAAAATTTATTAATGAAGGAATCAGAAGGATACATATGTACTAGGTAGGTATCTTCAAGACGTTTCTTCCTTCTTACGACATACCCCTCAAATTATGCTTTGGGCAATAGGGAACGTGAGAGATATGATGTCAAAAATGGGGCGGAGGTAAGTTTCAAGAGTGTATGAACGAATAGAGATAGCTCGGATATCTCACTTTACAGAAGTCTAAACCCCACGTGGTTGATCCTTATGTGAGCACATATTGAGTATATTTAGGGGTTCATAGAGTTCTTTCTCATGTTAAGTCTGCTCTTGTACCTACAAATTGTAAATGCATCCTATGTAGGTACTGGACCATACTAGCTAAGGTACCCTTAATCATTTCTCATCTACCTGCCTAATACTAGGTATCTGTAGGTAGGTACCTAGGTAGATATCAACCTAACAGTGCACCCTGAGTTACTCGAGAGTACCGAACATTCAATGTCGTATGCCTCGATCTGTATTGGAATCACATAACATACCTTGGTAGGTAGGTAGGTAGGTACATATAGTTGGTTTATTAACGTTTACCTGGTATGTAGATAGGTGGATAGGTAGCTATCTGCTCAGTAACTAACTCATAGGTACCTACAATGTACCTACCTACCCCTTTACTTTTCCTCCTATAGCCCAAGGTTCTTTGTTAGAAAAAACCTATCTTCCTAGAAAGAGTACGCGCGGCGCTTTGTTGTTTCCAGGTTGTAATCTTGCCTGGTTCTTCATAATTACCTGGTAGGTACCTACCTAGTACCAAATATATACTGGACTTTTGATTAACAGATAAAAGACCACAAGCTTAGGGGCTTATCCGTATTTTCGACGAATTGCGACAACTACCTCCGTTATATAATAGCACCATGTTGATAGGTACATAGTACCTAGGTAATTTTCCACTCCCGTCTCCATTGGCGTCGTTTAAAAAATAACCCCTGTTCAGATTCAAATTGTAGCATCTCGCATTTTTTCTCGACCTATCTACATAGTAGGTAATCAACAATTCGCAGACCGTACGAACCTAGGTATTCTATTCAGATCGACCAGATCGGCTTAGCCGTACCGTTATCTAATTTAACCCTGCCAATATGCCGCGATGCGCCAAGTTTCAACCCAGCATGAAATGCCGTGTGCGCTAAACTCAGTCAAGATCTTGGGCGCTTTGGTAAACCAATAGAAATACGTCTCGCTTCCATTAGCTGATAGTAGCTAGCACTTAACACAGATACATTTCTTTCTGTATCGTCTCTTTTCTCGTCAACGCTTCTTGCAGAATCGATATTCCCTTCAGCTTCGAACTCCATTTTTATACAGCTGAGAGAAATACGACGTTATATAGGTACCGAGGGTATGTATCGAGTGTTTTGAATTTTGTTGCTTGGTTCTTTACTTAGTTTTTTTACTTACTAGCTATGCGCCAAGTTTCAATCTCACAACCAGTCGCGAAATTATCCTCTCTAATACCGCAAGCCACTCATTTACTTCTGTATCGGCAACAGTCACAGCGACCAAACATCCCGATGCTGTTAGGCTGCATGTCGTCGATAATACTTGACCTAAAATAACATCGTCGTCCGAGCGGGAATGTCCCGACCATGTCGACTAGCAGGCTTTATTAGTGCCCGTACATGATGTTTTGTTCGTGATTCTCTCTTTTTAGTAGACCTTCTAATATGTAACTGACAGATTTGCCAAAGCTTGACAAGTTGAGGCCAGCCTCTATACTATGCGGTAACATCGCGTTGCTGCAGTCTGTAAGTAACCAATACACTCTCAGCTGGCAAGGATGTGTATTATGCCTTCCAGTATATGGCTCTAATCTCAGCCGCAAAAACAAAACAAAAAACACCACCAAAAAGCCGCAAACCAGCCCAATCTCCATTGGCGTTTCCGTGATAGGCTGCCGCTATGAAGCCACAATACCCCATCTCATTTTACTAGATCCCCAGGATCTAAGCGTCCTGGGCGGATCCCATCTTCGTTGCGCGATAGTTACCATTTGTTGTTATCCTTGTCCTAGTCAAGTACCTAGCCAAGGGACCTTGGGCCAGATGCCTACATACCTAGTAGGAGCTGAAATCTGCCTTTCGCTGTCGATTTCTACCCTATTGCCCCTCCTATCATGAAGCAGGCTAATATTATTCTTAGTTAGCGGACGATTTGCAGCTCAAGTAAGGGTCTTTAGTCTGCAGAGAGTTGCTAGGGTCTATAGATGCATATGAGCAGGATGTCCCCCCCCTTTATTACTTGAGGCACGTCCCGCCCTTCTCTTCATGATCGTTACATACTATTAGCACATTTGTACATCAAGTATCCTTTGTATAGTACTCTATTCGCTATACATTTTCTTTCATTTGCCGAGATGGAACAACCGTCTTCGAAGTATTCCAACCAGCGAGCCCCTGGGAAGGAACACATCCCCCTCTACCCCAAAGGCTTCGTTGCTATCCGGATAATCCAACTAATCCTTAGCATCGTCTGTTTGGGGTTGTGCGCTTTTGGAATTGCTTACTTAGTTTTTGCGGGGGATGCCTTGATGTTATTCACTGTATGCAATCCTGATAGTTTCCTGAGTAAGCGAGATAGGAAACGAGAACGAGGCTGATATGATTTATAGGCGGTCGCGACTATCATTACTAGCATATATTGCCTGGTTGCGAATTTTGGTCCTCCGAAGGCCTTCAATTACTGGGCCATACTCGGCTTAGATATCTTTCTCGTCATTTTTTGGTTGATCTCATTTGCCCTCCTCGCTGCTCAGGTTGCTTCTGCGTTCGCATACTACCACGAATACAGCGACTACTATGATGAATACTACGACTTAAGCAGCTACAACACGGCGGTAAATATCTACGGCGGATCTCTCGCTGCGGCTGCGGGCTTAGGTGGTATCCAGTTGTAAGCTACCTACCAAACTATAAGTCGATTGTAGACATAATTTCTTTAACACTATCTAGCCTTCTATACGTTATCTCGCTATCCATCCACGGCGTCATGCTTCATCGTCACCGAAAGGCTGGACTAAAGGCCATGCCTTTAGTCGTGGCGTCCGGGGGTGCCCCGGCTGCGGCTGTATCGCCTAGCGATGGCGAGAAGTTCCAGATGCAACCTCAGGCCGCACAGGTCTATCCTCAGCATACTATACCCGTGGCTGGGGCTCCTGATCCCCAGCAGGGTTATTACCCGCAGAGCTCGCCCTCTCCTCTCTCATCTCAACCCACTGGAAACTCTTACGTCCATCCCCAGCAGATCGTGAACCCCAGCCAGCCCATCTATGAAGTTCCAGCTCAACCTCAGCAATATCACCCTTCATAAAAACGAGAGAAAACAATTGATAAAGAAGTAAAGGGTGGCGTCCGTCTTCTAGCTAACAATTGGCTTTGAGCGACTCTGTACGATAGCTAACATTAACTATACTTAGGTAGATAGATGTCTTTCATGTTTAGAGGCTTGGAAGGACTCAGCGTAGGAACAAAAAGATCGAAGAGATACATATCCTAATCCTTTGTGCCTATCTCCATACATTTCCCGTTGGCTTGTTTCTCGAAGCTTCTCTATTCGATGGCTTCGCAATAGCATGAAAGCGAATTCTTTTTTTACTTTGACTTTGTTCAGTTGTCTAGGTACCTACTTAGATACTTTTTGCGATATAAAAGAATGGAGTAGCCGGCGGGCTGCTTGCGGTCCTTGGAATGCGACAGTCCACCTGTATAACTGAATCCGGTAAGAAGCATACGGAAACATCCAATCACAGTTGGAGGAGACCGGTCATTGTCTCGAAACATTGTGCATTGGTAGTCTTTGTTCACTTACTAACTTTTCTGATCGCTGCTAATTCCGGTTGCCCTTTTAACCAGAAAGTATCATAAACTTCTGCTCTCCTAGAGTCCATTTTAATTCTAATCGTCACTAAATTCTACTAAATTCGTAGGAGATTTTTCTTTTCTTTTTCTGTGTGTATCAACTTCAGATAGCAGGATTGGCAAATATCAAGTATAAGAGCTACACAATTATACTACGTACCTAGACACACAACGAACATGATGGCATCGGCGGTACCTGGCACCCCCGGCATCCGGGGTCCTGGCAATAAAGCTGGCGGCAAGGCTGGGGAGAAGCCTGCGACGACCGAGTCAAATGTCCGGCCTGCGATTTATCCGAGGGAGGGAGATGTCCGGGACTATCCCAAGGGCGTTTTCGAGTTACTGTGGACGGGAATTTTCGGAGACTCTGACAAAAAATGGGGACCGTTCTATAAGCACATCAGAGCGGCCAAGAAAGAGGGCCGCTGGGAGGAGTGGGACACCTCAGATATCGTAGCCGCCGAGCCTAACGACAGAAGCGATATCATAGACCCAGATGAGGACACGAGACGGGACCTGAAGACTCAAAAATCTGATGCATACATCATGACACGTGAATTAAGAGATGATGTCCGTCCTGCGCATCTCAACGTCGAAGAACTACTCGGCAGGCAGATCCATCCTGGCGACTACGACGATAAATTTTTTAGGCGCCAGTGGAATGCCCTCTACGAAAACGTAGTGGAGTTCTCAAATAAGTGGTTTGATGCCCGCGTGGACCTTCGATATCTTACAGAGTCTCAGCAAGGGCCCAACCAGATTTGGGGCTCACACTTGACGGAACAGTTCACCGAGTATTCCCGACTCGTTGTTCAAGAAGACTCAAAAGTTGGCGGATGGCCTGCTATTTTAAACGAGAGCCAGCAACGAAAATGGCTCGTAGTTGGTATCATGGCCCAGATTATAGAGAAAAAGATTTTTACCGAGCTCTTGTTCGGGGCCGAACGGGTTATCCAGGATGAACTAGAAAGGCTTGACCTCCTATGGATACAAAAAGAAGGTGAGTAATCTCGGCTAGGAAGTTTATTTCGGTCTTCTCTTGCCCTCCCCCTCCCTTTCTACTTAAGAGTTGATTCGCTAATATGTTGACGTGAAGGTTACGGCCGCAAGACTGCTCGTGCTATCACCGCGAGATACGGCATGGAGGGACGTCTGCTGCCGCGCAATTTCTGGACCCAGGTTGACGACTTGGCGGCCAAGACGATGAAGGTATTCCTACCGCTACTTAACGCGATGAAGGAGGTTGTTCCGAACAGTCTGGCGAATGACTATTGTCAAGAGTGCTTCTTACAAGAAATACACGCTATCATCGCACACGCGGGTGTGATTCAGGTCTGCACCGCCGTCTCTCCTAGTATTTTTCATGTTCTTTCTGCTACACCCGGCGCGCGTATGGACTACGATATCGAGAGGCAATCTGATATGCAAATATATCGCGATTCTAAGGCGTTTTACGAGGAGCAAGACAGACACTGGACTGAGTACGTTACGGAATCTATGGCCGGGCGACCGGCTCAGAACCGCACCGGAACTCCCATCAAACTGCCCCAGAACGAGGAAGAACGCCGTACCATGGAGTACCATCGGATCCGCGGTGCTAGGGTTAAATTTGCCGTATTCCCCAAGTTAACGCGGTACCACCCCATTAACAAAGGCAAAGGTGAAGCCGAGCTGGAAAGGCCTTTCGAGGACGAGGTGAGCTGGGATGGATATAAGGAAACCAGCGAGGGCCAGGATGTTGTCAACCTCTCAGACTGCTGGGTCATCTATAAACAGGGCTTGATATACCCCGAAGAGGGATTCGTCGATGCGCAGACCTTGGATAGTCACCTGCAATCGCTTATCAAACCACCGACGGGGTTGGTTGGCTGGCTTTGGATGGTGATCATGTCATCATGGTCTACGTTTAGAAAAGCGTTTTGGCATATTCTTTTTGTCGCCGCTCTTTCTTTATTAGTCTCTTCCTTCTTTGTGGGCGCTTCCTACTTCCGATGGCTTGCCGCCAATAAGCTTCCTTACATCTTCTTTTCCCTCTTTTGCGGAGTCCAGATTGTGCAAATCCTTCTCCGTAAGGGCAAGACATTTCCTGCCTGGGTCATCATCAGTATTCCAATTGCGTTAACGTACGGTACCGGCTTCATCTATTACACTCTATCTCGGTCGGGGGATGCTGCCGATGCTGACGCGCATGAATATGTCGATAATGTGCTTAACAATGCTGGAGCGTGAGTTTAAAAATTAAGCACGAGTGAGAGATGAAAAGATGGATACGCGGGATCTTGGTGCGGCTGGCGCGATATCGCGTTTTGTTTACCTACTTATGTTTTAGTTCGTCAATGGTATTCTGTTATGCCTTTGTTTGTATTAGTTTGCGCGACGGGAAGGTTGTTTATTAGCTAGATAATTCATTCCGATCCGGGATAGAAATAGAATAAATGAATGCCAATACGCTCAAATATTACTGGTCAATGGTGGTTCGATTAAGATTTACATCCTACACGCTGGTTAATTTCCAAGGTTGTTGATTTTTTACCGTAGCTTCGCCCACAACTGCCGAATTCGTGTCGGGAAAGTTAAACGGGTATATCCATGCCTAGGTATATAGAGAATTACCCCTTGTTCTAGTGGGCCATCATCATTATCTCCGCACATTAAGCATGACGGTTACGAGAGTTAAGCGGCTTGTACGCCGAGGTTAAAAGAGAAGCTCTCTCCTCAGTTGTGATGCTTGTTCGTTTCCCTCTCTCTTTGGCGTAGAGATTCCCGAGGTCCCTTACGTGAAATTCAAACGACATGGCCACCACTTTGCGGCTCAAATACTCAGATCCCCTATACCAAACGGCTCATGAAGAAGCTTTTTCGAAGCCACTCTTTGAGGAAATCGAAACTGTCTTACCACCAGACGTGTCCAAAGAAGAATTCACCTCAGCTCTGGGACAACTTATCAATGCTCTAGGAAAGGATGCTGTTTTTAGCGGACAGGACTTAAGGGATTATGTCGATCCCTACGAGATCCCCGAGTCTGGACATAGGAGAAGTGTGCCGAGTGCTGCACTCTGGTAAATGAGTCCCTTGTAGGGCACAGCTAATCGATAAATAAATGACTAACTCTTCGTATAGTCCATCTTCGGTGCCGGAACTTCAAGCTGTATTGAAGGTTGTAAATGACTACAGAATCCCAGTTTGGACATTCGTATGTATTCTCAAGACTTCTCTCCCTCTCTTTTCGGTCTCGGTCGCGACAGCCCTATAGTCAAGCTGAATAGAGGGTTCCAAGGTTGTTACCCCCATGAATCCTGAAAATGTGCAACCTCTCCTCAACTATTCCACAGAAGAAATTACTGACTCTCTTTTAAAGTCAAGAGGAAAAAATCTAGGGTATTGTTAGTTCTAATCTATTATATGGATAAGGCTAAAAACAAAAATTAAAAAGCTATGGAGGACCAGCACCGCGCGTTCCTGGGTGTATTGCTCTAGACCTGCATCGGATGAACAAAATCCTAGAGGTGAACGAAAAATTCAGCTACGCAGTAGTTGAGCCCGGAGTAACCTTTGGAGACCTGTACGAATATTGCGCGAAAAACAAACTCAAAGTCTGGCCGAGCACGGCATCTCTCGGATGGGGAAGTGTCATCGGTAACGTGGGTATCCGCCTCTGACAGAAAAAGGGGGGTTTGAATTAACAACTGTAGACGCTTGATAGAGGTATGGGGTTCATTCCAACCGGAGTACATCACGAAAACGTGGCCGGTATGGAAGTTGTTCTTGCGGACGGCGATGTTGTTCGCACGGGTCAATTTGCCATGTCCAATTCGCCGTCGGCGCATATAACGAAGCTGACATTTGGTCCGACGATCGACGGGCTCTTCATACAGAGCAATCTCGGAATAGTAACTAAGATGGGCATCAACTTAACGCCGCAACCGCAGGCATACATGGCATGTTCTTTTGATGTCCCGGAATTTGAGCACATCGAAATCATAACCGATGTTTTCGGAGAACTTCGACGTAACGGCACCTTACCATACATGGTATACGTCTTTTACATCGCGGAATGGGCTACCATGTTTGGCAAACACTCGGAGTGGTGGGAAGGAGAGGGCCCGATCCCAGACTGGAGGCTGAAAGAGATGCAGCAAGATCTAGATGCTGGTATCTGGACCGTGAAATTCGGGCTTTACGGACCGACGGACCTCATCAAGGCTCAATTCGAAGAGGTCCAGCGAGTGGTGGCCAAGGATGCCCCTGTCGGTCGTCTTCGCCATACGTTATTCACCAACGAAAATGGTGGACTTCTTGAAGCAACAGCTGTTGATCCAGTCTATGGTGGAATTAGAGTGGGAATCCCCAGCATGTGGAACATACCAATGGTGAACTATTATAACCTCCGCAACGACTCGGTTGGGGCACACGGGGCATATTCCCCTATCTTGCCCCTGGATGGCAAGACCGTACTAGAATGGGCGAGGACGGCTAAGGGAATCTGCGCTGAACAAGGCTTCGATTTTCTGTGCGACTTCTTCATGCACGAGAGGTATGCCATATTTGTTACCATGCTTTGCTTTGACAAGACCAGCGAAAAGCAAAGAGTCGGCGTAGATAAAGTCTTCAACAACCTTTTCGAGCAAGGTAGCAAGCGAGGTTTTGCGAAGTATAGAGCACATATAAACCACATGGGTAGGTTGATATTGTACTTGGATGCTTGATTCCCACTCCACCCAATGGAATAGACTGATACTCGATAGACTTGAACGCTGATCTGTTCGATTTCAACAATCATGCTTACCGACGTTTCGTCGAGACATTGAAGGTAAGTCTGCCTTCTACGACGGATGAACTTTTGATAAAATAGGTACCTAACTTGTATTTTTTTTTTCAGGAATCGTTAGACCCTAACGGCATTCTGTCGCCTGGGAAACAAGGAATCTGGCCGCAGAGGTTGATGCGCTTCAAGCATCTTCATTAAACCGGTGTTTAGGTAGATACTTACCTAGTTGTTTGAACATATAAACGAACGGGGTCGAATTATTTCCCAAGGTTCGCAAGCAACGCGAACTCTTAATTTTTGACGTTTTCGGATTACAAGTAATTAGAAATTGCGATTGCCAACGTCTGTTTATTTTATGTATCTACTAGGTTATTGAAATATACCCTAGTTCATAATATTCACATACCAATAATCTAAAAGAAATATTTTCCTTATCTGCGTACTACAATGAAACGCGTTGACGTGTTTAGTTTATTGGTTGAAGACAAACCATTATAAACTTTCAAGTACCTACCTAGATAATCATTGGAAACAGACGGGATGGCTAATAAGCGCAAGAAGCCCAAATATTATGCTGTACGAGCCGGCAGACAGCCCGGAATATACAACACTTGGGAAGAATGTGAAGAACAGGTCTCTAAGTTTTCGGGTGCTGCGTTTAAAGGGTTTGATACGTACAACGACGCTTTGACATTCGTTGGCGATGCTATTTCTAAGGACCAAGACGACCAAGACAGCATAGAAGACGAAGAAGATGACCTGCCGAATACCCCATCCATAACCTCGGGAAACCTGAGAGGTCACAGCCTGGCCATCGTCAAGATCGAAGATGATGTAGCCTTCATGCCACCAGCGTCACAATCTTACTTCGACCAATTCCCCGACTTCGAGCCGGATAATAAAGCCTCCTTTGACGATGAATTTAGCCGCTTCGCTTCTTCCCAGGGTATAGTTTCTGGCTCTCAAACGTATCGGAAAGAACGAACCAAAGCGATTCGCGACGAGTTGAAGTTTCTTTATTCCTCACAACCCAGCAACACAACGTTAAAGACCATCCCCGAGCTCAGCAACGACTCGCTAAGTGACCAAGAGAAGCTTGAAATCTACCAAAATATGTGTCAAGAGATCGGTGTTGCATCGCAAAATACTATCGCCGAATGTAGACGAGAACTAAAGAAGGTTCTAGTCAACATTGTTGATTACATTGATGCTAGGCGCGTCCCTAATAAGAAAATTGAAATATGGTCCTGGAGTGACTTTGATCAATTTAGCGAGTATTCTTTACAGGATGGAAAGCGAATTGATAGAAATGAAGCTAAGGCGGATGGGGGGTTCCTGTCGGCTCTACTCCAGAACTTGACTTGTCCCGGTCCAAGGCGAAAAAAGCACCCGGCTCTTCTAGGAGAGTTCGAGTCTAAGAGAAAGAGAGTCGACCATAATGAGTACGGTCCCGCAAAGCGTGTCCGTGTATCTTTTTCGGAATCCACTGAAGATGAAGACTTGAGCGTAGTGGGTTTGCAAACACCTCCAGTTGGCTACTAGGTAGGTACGTAGGTATTGTACATACCTAGGTACCTACCCATATTTACTATATTTATTAATACGTTAAGATCCGTACCTATTAAAATAATAAGCCTTAGTATCGAGGGTGGACCATAAGGCCGTATCCGCCAACCCGCCAATTCAATTAATGTATTGAAATGTATATAGTATAATATAGTGTAGTAACGTACAGTCTAATACATATTCCACACGGTGCCCTGAATCTTACAGTGGGTCACAGCGTTATATTTCAGTACATTAATTGAATTAGCGGGTTGGCGGATTTGTTCTCATGGTTCGCTGTTGTCGAATTAACGTAATATCGTTAAATAAGGTGAACCATAAGCCCGTATCCGCTAACCTGTTAATTTAATTAATGTATTAAAATGTACATTGTATAAATAAGTAGTATATATGGAATTTATATTATGTTTTATAGTTTATAAAACGTTATTAATATTTAATAATAATATTTTTAATATTTAAATAAATATATATTTATTATAAATAAAAATATTTTTTATTTTATAAAGTTTTTAATTTAATAAATTAAAACGAAAAAATAATATTAATTTTTATTATTAAATTTTACGGCTTATTAATAAAGGAAAAAATAAAATAAACGTTATATAAATAAATATTTATTAAACTTAAAGAAAAATATAATTTATTTTTATTTTTTATTAAGTATATATTATATGTTATTTATTTTTTATTTTATTTTTTAATTTTACGTTAATATTTAAATTTTATAATTTACTTATTTAGTTAATTTTTTTATTTTAATATTATATTTAAGTAATTATTTAAAACTTAATGTAAATTAACGTTAATAAAATTAATTATTTTATTATAAAAAAAATTATAAACTTTTTAAAAAAAAGTAAATTATTTAATTATTTATATTCGAATTTTTTTTTCTTTTTTAAATAAATATTATTAAGTATTAAAATTATAAAACCTTTTATTTTAAATACTTAATTTTTAAAAAGTAATTAAAAAAAATCGATATTTATTATATTAAATTTTTAACTTATTTTAAAATAAATATATTTCATTTTAATAATAAGTTTTATTTAAATGTAAAATACGATAATATTTAAAAAAGTTTATAAATATAATAATATTTAAATAAAAATTAAATAACTTTTATTAATTATTATTTATATTTTTATTTATTATTTAAATTTTTAATATTATTTTTTTTATAATTAATACTTAATTTTTAAAAAAAGTTATTTATTAATTTAACGTGTTTAATTTAATTTTTTCTTTTTATTAAATAAAATAATAATAATAATAATAATTAATATTAACGTTAAAAAACCGTTATTTATATAATTATTTTAAAATTTTATTAAAAATATATTAAACGTGTTAAATTAAGTTTTATATTTTATATTTAAATATAAAATCTTTATAATTTATTTAATAATTTATATTTTTAAATATATATCGTAACGGTTTATATTATATTTTTTTTACCGGAAAACGGAAAAAAAAAACGTAAAAAAAATAATATTATTAATAAAATTAAGTACGTATTTATTTAATAAAAGTTACGTTAAATATAAATTTAATTATTTTAAAATATTATTACTAATATATAATACCGTTTTTTAAGTTTATTAAAAATATTATTTTTTATATTTTTATAACTTTTTTATAATAATAATAATAATAATAATAAAAATTATAATAATTAATTTTATTACGAAACGGAATTAAAAAATTAAAAAATAATAACGTTATTACGCGAAAAGTTTTTAATTATTTTTTTTATGGAAAATACGATATATATATAAATGAAGTTTTTTATTTATTTTACTTTTAAAATTAATTATAAATAAAATTTTCGCGGGGATTTTACGGGTTTAATTTCGATTTTATAAACTTTTAATTATTAACTTAAAAAAAAACCGATATTTAATAAACTTTTTTTACGTTCGAAATTTTACTTTTAAATAATAACTTAAGTTTACGTTTTTTTAATTTTAAATATTTTTTAATAAAATAAATAATTTTTAAATATTTATAATAAAAGTTAATATAAAAATTTAAAATAATATTTTAAAATTAATGTAATAATTTTTTAAAGTTTTAAAATTCGTAATTTTCTTTTTTTTTTTTCGAAAAAAATTTTACGTTTTTATTTAATAATAATTTATTTAATAAACGTTAAAATTATATTAAGTTTTAAATGCTCGATAATTTTATATTAATTTTAATATATAACTTTTTTATATATTAATATGTTTTTTTAATTAATTATATTTTTAATAATATAATATATAATTATTTAATAATATTTATTTTAATATTAACGATATTTAACATTAATTTTCGTGTAATAATATATAATTATTTAATAAATAAGTTATTATAAATAAATATTATAACTTATTTTTTTAAATAATAATTATTTACCGTTATATATTAAAATTATATATATACGTTTATTTAATAAATAAACCGGACTTAATATAAATATTAAAAAATTAATTATATTAAAAATATACGCATTATTATTTATTTTATTTTATATTATTTAAATTACGAAACGAAATTAAAAAACTTAAAAATAATAACGTTATTACGCGAAAAACTTTTAATTACTTTTATTATAAAAAATACGGTATATATATAAATAAAACTTTTTATTTATTTTATTTTTAAAATTAAAAATTAATGGAATTTTTACGAATTTAACGGGAACTTTATAAACTAAATTTCGATTTTATAAATATTTAACCATTAATTTTCTTTTTAATTAAACGTAAAATAATTTTTATAAATAAAAATATAATAAAAAAAGTAATAAAATAAATAAATATTTAATAAATATACGGTTTTTATAACCGTGTTTAATAATATAAAGTTATAATATTTTTTTAATTAATTAAAATTAAACTTTTATAAAAGTTTTATTATTTTAATAATATAATTTAAATTTAAATATGTATTTTTTAATTAATCGAAATATTTATTAATAAATTTTTACGTTTTTAAAATTAAACTTAAATAATTAAATATATAAGTATTATTTACGTTATATAAAACCGGAAAAACGCCGGTAAAACGTATATATATTATTTTATATATATTAAATAAAAAATTAAATATCGTAATTTAA